TCACAAGAACTAAATAGTGGAAGAGAAGGGGAAACTTAATTTTGGAACACATCTAAAACAATTTATTATTAAAAAAAATAATTACTGATTAGAATATAAATGTTCCAAGTGAGTTTTTTTTTACTAATTTTTTAATTGTGTTCCAAAATTAAGTTTCTCCTCCTCTTCCACTTGTGAATATTGTCTTGTGTCTCATACCAAATCACACCAATGAATCCTTCTTCAGAAGTGTTGGTCGCAAGAATTCTTAAAGAAAAAAAAATGTCTTAAGTTTTCCTTAAGTTGTGTGTGTATGTGTACCAGAAAATGCCAAAAACTGCATTGGTCAAATAGAAGTAAAAAAAAAAAAAAAAAAAGACAAATAAAACCTCAGCATTTTTATAAACATTTACTTTCAAATACAGTTGGCACTGATAATTGCAACTGAAAATTGTTTAGGGATTTTTTTTTCTCTATCACCAAAATTTTTCTGGCTTATTCCTTATACATAATCATTAGAGTGAATGAAAATTTTAATGTATTTGTTTAATGAATTCTATCCATGACATCCTGGGTTACATAAACAGTGTGCGTATGATGTCCTGACATCATTTTCCAGCTGTTCAGCTCATGTTGCTTGACACTCGGCATAATAAACTGCTGTTTATATCTTTCTCCCTTTTAAGGTTTTAAACAAGTTAAGATTTCTCAGGCAGAATAATTATCTATTCATACATTAAACCTCTCACCATCCTCAGTGCCTATTATTTCTCTCCTTGCTAAAGGTAATCTGATATGGAGTCCAGGGAAACCTTGGCCACTGAACTATTTTAGGGTGCTCAACCTCAAGAAATTCCATTAAACCAAATCCTGTTTATTTGCCATGCAGTTTTGTTTGTTTAGGAAAAATATATAGAACTTTCTTTCATTCCCCATCAAGGGAAACATTCTAATTCTTCTCATAATTATAGGAGAAAGAGTTTAAAAGAAATTTTGTTTAGTTAATTATTCACTGACTTGGAAGAAAATTTATATAGTAAGAAATTGTTAGATAACTAGCAGAATACCCATAAAAAATAGATTAGCATTTCTACTGAGGGTCAGAGTATGTTTTACTTTTTTTTTGTGCTCCCATACTATGATGCAAGATGTGGGTCTGTGTTTGTGTTTTCAAGTAGTTTACAGTGAAGTAATGAGAGGAGCCTTGCCACAGTGGTTCTAACTCTTCAGCACCATTTCCACACTATACCAGAGAGGGAGGGTAACATTACTCTGACACTTGTGTGGTAGTACACTCCTGTACTGGGCAATAGTTGTCCTTAGCCCTAGTGTGTGGGCACTCTACATCACACACACATACATACATATATATATATATATATATATATATATATATATATATATATATAATTATAATAAAACGAAAGAACAGTAAGATGTATAATCCGGTGTTCTTTTTGATATTTACAAAACAGTTCTCAATGTAAATCTACAGAGCATAAATATTATAAATTAACTGATTTAAAATATGGTTTCTTTGCTACACAGGAATTACCAGGTTTCAAAAACCGAAGCTAAAAACTTCAAATTTAATTATATAATTAAATTAAAAGCACTTAGTTCTGCTTTATCTTGAAGGAAATTATGGAAGTTATTCCAAAATTCGCTTGAAGATGAAACAGAACTAATGCTTTTAATTTAATTATATAATTAAATTTGAAGTTTTTAGCTTCGGTTTTTGAAACATGGTAATTCCTGTGTAGCAAAGAAACCATATTTTAAATCAGTTAATTTATAACATATATACAAACAAGTTTGATTGAAAAGAACTGTCTAAGTCTCTGTTGAATTTTTATTGTATTTTCCCAATTTTCAAAGTTGTGTATTGGGATGAAAATTTTGTGGCCCTGATCCCAGTAACCATTATGCATGACATCACTGTAGACTTTCAAACTTTCAGCTTTCCAAAGAATATGAGGATGTAGACAAAGGAATTCTGTCTACCACATAGACACCACATCGGTTCTTGAAAATGACTGTCAAAAGTACTTGAACAAAACAATAACACAAACATTGGACAATTTACCCACAATTTTCATCCCAACAGACAACACCTTATTTGAAAATTTAAAAAAATACAATAAAAAAAAATTAAGCAAACGGACCCTGTTGGTTCTTTTTGATCAAACTTGTTTGGATGAATACTTGTTGCCTAAATATATCTTATTCATATTTTGGGGGATCCATAATGAGAAAAGAAAGTTTGGAGAATTTAACATTCACAGGCAACACTAAAGACAAGAGAAGCAGAGGAAATAGATGATAGAACAAGTACCACAAAGATATAGGGGTAATAAAGGAGCAAAGTATTACTTAGAGCGACAAAAGATAGAAAGCTGTGGAGAACCATTATTGCTGATATCCTGAAGGAACATAGTCCATGATGCTACTGGGAGATGTAATCCCTATGATGGTAGACTTATAAAATAAAAATGAAATTCATAATTGGTAATTGTACTTTGATATATATATATAAAAAAAAGACTAGAACTTATTTATCAAGATGTTATGAACCTCAATTTGGTTAGTGAAAGAGACAATTCATTTGCTAAATAATCAAGTTTCATTTGTTTATAATAATTTTCATTGCTGTGAAATCCAAATAAATTTTTGACCAATGTTCTCAGGTTTGGTTCTTTTCTTTTTTTTTTTTTTTTTTTTTTTGTTTTTGGTGGGGTGGGGGCAAACAACACACACACACACACACACACACACACACACACACACTTCTTCCAAATTTAAGTTGTGTGTCTTCCAACTTGGAAGATAAGTCTATTAAAATTTTATTTATCTATGAATTATTATTGCTCTATTTTTAATATTGAGCAATTTGTTTACAAAAATTTACTCGTATTTCAACATGTTAAGCTCCAGTAATTTACTGGCCAAAGTGTTTTGTTGTGTGTTAATGATCTACATACACAAAAAAGTGTTGAATAATTTTTTTTTTTTGGTGGATTAGTTACTGTATGTTGGTGTTGAATGTGCAAAGAAACTGTACAGATTTGAGATTCTAAGCCCACAAATAGCTTTGGTCATCAATTAGATGAAATTCAAAGTCCATGTGGTAGTTTGTATCATTGATATAGTTTTGAATGTTATTTTCAATGCTTGTGATGTTATCTTTTTCAGTTTTGAAACTTGCGTATTGCATGAATATGATCTGGTGTGGATTTTGATTCCAGAAACATGATTATTTTGACTCGATATGGAGATCTAAAAGTTTTAATTTCATAAACAGCTGTCATATTGCAATTTTAGTTTCTGTATAATATGTTGCTGTATAGCACTTTGGTTAAAATTATGACAAATCTGAGTGGAGGAGTTGTGGTTGTATATTCGATATAACATGTTTTGATGCAATCTCCAACAGAGCAAGTTGGTTTTCAAATAATTTGTCTTAGAAAGGGGATTTGATTTTAAGATAGTTTTATTTGTGACTAAGTTAGGATTTATTACTTTTTGTAAATACAATATGTTCAGGTATTTAAGTTCTGACTCTTTATGTTGTAAATATAAAGTAATTTAATATTGAGATATTCAATAACTTTTTTCTTTACACAACACACAGCATAACAGGTGTTAAATAAATACATTTTATTGGTACTGGAAGTGCCAAAGTGAGGACAGAGAGCCCATGTAACAAATTTAAACAATTTTATATGTTCAGCAATGTTAATGTTGTTTTCAATTAAATATGTCCTTTAAAAAATTACTAGTATAAGACCTACAACAAAAATAGTTGATGATAAACAAAATGGGACAAATAATTTTTACCAATTCTTTATATGATACTAACCTTTTAGACTTATTGCAAATAATATATGATCACTAGAAGTCCTAATACTTTCAGAAGAAAAAAAAAACCTGTGGTTCCCTATTCTCTTTTGGAGCTTTAAGCATTTACTTATTTTGTATAATGCAGGGATTCTCAACCAGGGGAGAATTTCCGGTTTGGTTTGGTTTGTTTTGTTTTACGGCACATCAACCTCAAAGTGTCATTTAATGCCGACAACTTTTTTTTTCTTGGTAATATTTTTGTTTTGTCAAAAATCTATTTCTATTAATATTTTTTTCCTCAAAAATGTATAGCTGGTAATATTATTTTTTCAAAAATGTATAGCTAGTAATATTTCCAAAAACGTATTGCTGGCAATAGTTTTTTTCTTCAAAAATGTATAGCTAGTAATATTTCCAAAAACGTATTGCTGGCAATAGTTTTTTCTTCAAAAACGTATTGCTGGTAATATTTTAGAATGCTTTTTACCTCAGTTTCGGGGTTAACTATTTGCCCATAGCTGGGACCCTAACACATGCTACCACCCAGGGTCAAGGTGGACCTGGGAACACCAGCAATTAAGAGGCGGTTCCACACTCCTCGAAACCTCCTGGTCAGAGGCCTTGCTGTTGGATGTAGTTTATCGTCATACCCAGGATGCAAGAATTTCCGGGTTTCAGCAATGGAGAAAACACTTTCTTTTTATTGTTTGTTTTTTTTTCATTTACAGAATTTTGTTTATTATATTACAATACCCTGTCATTCTATTGAACTTTTTGTTTATTGAAGGATGCTTCAGTTTAATTATTTAATTAATCATGAATTAAAACATATTGTATGTGTATTCAAGTTTAAAATCCCAACATTTTCTAATGCTATTTGTAAAACTCCTCTATAAAAATAATCCACATATATACTAATGTTGCAGCGGGCCAAGAGGTGTGAGTGCCAATCGACCGTACAACTAAAAAGGGGACACACAAGGGCAAGGAGATGGCAATAGCAAAGAAGGATGACAAACACAGATGGTCCGTTGTAGACGATGGAAATCGTGTCTTTATTCGCAAACGGTGGATGGTAAGCAGACAGAGGTCGTTTGAACGGTGTCCGGACGATAACGGGCGCTAGACGTCAGTGGGCACTGGATAAGGTCGTCAGCGGGTGCTGGAATAGTCGCGGGACGTCAGTAGAGCGCCGCAGGGGTGAGCTGGAGACTGCTGGAAGCTGCAGGAGTGCTGGAAGCTGCAGGAACGCTGGGAGGTGCAGGAGTGAGCTGTGTTGAGCCTCGAAGAGTGGTGATCGAATGACATTCGGAAGTTAGCCCTGAAAAGCTGCTGGGCTTGGTCGACTTGACTGGGAGCGTCAAAGTCGCGAATAGGGAGGCTTCCTGTTCCCCCAGGCCGGTTAAAAACTGCCGCGAAGTCTCCGGGATATAGGTATGACGGTTCATACAAGAGAAAGCGGTGACGCTAAACAAGTAAATGAATAGTAATTAATTCCGGGCCGTATTAATTACAGTCAAAGGTGTGTTCGGAGTTTGTTGACTGTATTTACATTAACTTCGTTTCGGAATTAAAGGTCTTTTATTTTTGTTTAGTGGCGAAAATTGAGTTTTGTGTGTTTCTGAAGGTTTGAAAGGATGTCGTTGCTATTTTTAGCACACAACGACCGTGACCTTTCTCTATCAGCAGGCATAGCCGGGGTTGTTTAAGAAACGGATGGGAGTGGTGTTTGGGCACACTGCGACAAGGCCCTCTCCCAGGATAATTGATCATTATCAATTAGAAGAAAATATATGTCTTGTACTTCTTAGGGAAGGTGACTTTCCTTCCAAGACGGGTCTGCTTAGGTGGAGTGATGGGTGATTCTGGGATTGGCTCCGACCTCGGTTTTGACGGTTGCGATTGCGTGGTTGTTGAGGCAGGTGAGGGTTCTGGGTGTGTTGAGACGGGTTCTGTCTCCCGTGGGGATTTTTCCAGAAAGGCTGGTTTGACTCTGTCGATGGAGATGGTGTCCGTCCGGCTTCCTCGATCAATGGTGAGATGCTTCTCAGAGCGTTTTAAGACTTTGAATGGACCCTGGTATGTTGGTGTTAGTGGTTTCTTTACCGCGTCATTTGGACAAAAATGAACTCACAGTCCTGAAGCTGTTGTGGAACGTGGATAGCTGGTGATGATTGCCTGGGTGGTGTATACTTCAGTTGGGCCATTTTATGGCGAAGTTCCTGAGTGAAAGGACTTGCAGTGGTTAGGTTGGGTATGGTGTCGCCGAAATATTGGCGGGTAAAGAGTGCTGTCGAAGACTATTTCGGCTGGAGTGCATTCTAAGTCTTCTTTGAGTGTGTTGCGGATTGACAAAAGGATTAGGGTAGCTCGTCTACCCAGTTGCTGGTGGGATGTTTTGTAGTTAGAGAGGTCTTTAGTGTTGGTGGAACCTTTCCACAAGGCCGTTTGGCGCAGGGATGGTAGGCGGTGGTCTTGATGTGTTTGACGCCGAGCAGTTGAGTGAATTCCTGAAAGAGTGAGGACTGAAACTGCGGCGCCCGCGGTCTGTGGTGATGATGTTAGGTACGCCAAAATTGCGATCCACTCCTGAAGGATGGTCTTTGCTACCGTGCTAGCGAGGTATCTCTGATGGGTACTGCTACTGGCCACCTGGAGAAACGGTCGACCACTGTGAGGAGGTACTGATAATTCTGGCACATTGGGAGGGGTCCCACTATGTCGATGTGGATGTGGCTGAAACGCGTCGTCAGGGTTGCTGAATGTGCCTGGCGGGGATTTTGTGTGCCGGTGTACCTTGCATTTTCTGGCACTTAAGGCACGTTGATACCCAATTACGGATGTCAGTATTCATGTTGGGCCACGAAAGCATCGGCAATGAGTTTGACCGTGAAGCGCTTGCTGGGATGTGACAATCCATGGAGGTGGTTGAAAACTTGCCTTCTGAGTGCCGGAGGTATGTAGGGTCTAGGTGATCCAGTTTTGTATCGCAGTACACTATTTTGTTGCTGAAGGGGCCTGAAATTCTTTCAGTTGCAGGGATGTGTTGGCTAGGACTTCCAGGGAGGGTTGCGTCGGATTCCTGGGCCTCTGCTATCAGGTCCTGGCTGAGTGGGCTGTCTTGCACTGTGTTGACATCAAATCTGGATAGGGCATCGGCAACAGAGTTGTCTTTTCCTTTGACATGACGAATATCGGACGTGAACTGTGAGATATAGTCCAGATGTCTGATCTCTCATGAGCGTATATTTGTCCGAGTTGTTCGACAGGGAAGTTGTCAAGGGTTTGTGGTCGGTCAAAACGGTGAAATTCCGCCTTCCAGTAGATGTCGGAAGTGTTTGATGGCGAGGTATATAGCCAAAAGTTCTTTCGAGAAGGTGCTGTATCTGGACTGGGCTGGTGATAGGGAAAAAATTGAGAAAAACTTCTTTTCGTACACTATCAACGAAAAGAACAACAATTACTACTATTGAAGACGAACCTTTAGAACTCTTTACCCACTGGTCTATATTTGCTTGACCCTTTCTTTCTCTCGCGACGTTTGACCTAATTTCACCCGCAGACATGCTTAAGGCTGTACCAAACGGAAAACAACGCTTATTTTCTACTAACACTGTTTTCTTCTGGACTGAAATAGAAAAAGTGTGAACCAAACCACTGGACGACTCACTGTTCCATTATATACGATTGGTGATTCCAAACCATTGCAGGCGACTCACTGTCTCAATTTTAAACAACATTATTGATTCCGACATGAAAGCAACACTCAACTTACACCACGTGGCGATATCTTCACGCCACTGCTTGCTTCTCATTCTTCTCAAACACACGTGGACATTCTAGTCAACACAACTTCAACTGACTACACATCCACTCACATTGTGCTAAACATTGCACATATTTCAAATGTCCAATGCAGTCTTAAAAGGCAATTCACCGTCCTTCATCTCATTCTGCAATTACTGTGACTCAAACAAACCGAGATTTTGCCAGAACGATACTCTCATCGACAATACCAGCAAATTCTCTCAAACATGCATTCGACACTCGGTAGAAATTCAGCTCAACTTCACGAATACGCTGCGTCTATTAACTTTAGTGCGCCGATGAAACCCACACGAACCACCTCGTTTTTCAAACCAACTACAAACAAGCCAGCAGACAGGTGCATAGATCGACACAACCAACTCATCGTGGAGCAAAAAAGACAAATTTTGATAGCAACGCAGACCACTACCGACGCATTTTACAGGACGTGCCCAATTCTAACTCACTGAAATATAACACTGCACCCTGAGACAACACTACATTTTCGTCGAATCACTAATCTCAACCACACTTCTGACACATTTTCTTTTCAGCCCACAAGAACAATATTCAGACTTTAACGAACCTTTTTTTCTTTATATATTAAAAGTTTTCATTTCCTTACAACCTTTAATCTGGTGGGGGTATTGTCGGAGTTACCTCCTCCTTCAGTTTGTAACCCTTTCACCAGAGGTCTCTCTTTCCTGGCTATAAATAGCCAATGACCCTTCTTCGACCTCTTTTTTTACTTTTCAGGCTTGGGCACTAACGCACCGAGGTAAATTTCTCTTCTTCCTAGAGGATTTCAACTATCAACCTCAAAATGTAGTCCCTAACAAGAAATAGCGTGAAATCACGCTACACAACACACACACGCTTCACACACGGAATATTCCCACACACTTTGTCCTTTGTACTGTTTTCTTGTATTGTAACTTGTTATGAATATATATGTGTTGTGTATACATATATTATCGGTCTTGTTTTTGTTTGCTTTCTTTTCCTTCTTCTTTGGACTTAACCAAGTCCAACCTTTTTATGTAGTTGGGCCGGCTAGCAGGAGAATCTGAACCTTACAGGCGTTTCGTCCACGTCTGTCTTCTCTCAACAAACCGTAACCGCCAACATAACAGCCACGGCCCTCTACACTAATATGGAAAAGAATGAAGATTTTCAATAATATATGCTTATTATTTGGAATGCACCTTTTGAGTTGGACACTCTGGAAAGGGGAAGAATGACATTCTGACATATGATGAAAAGCTGGCATTGGTTAAGAAAGGTGGAGGACAACTGGCCTAATGGTTAATTCAGTTCTCATATTCTTCATTTTTCACTACTCCCTGGCAAGGTCTTGATATTTTCCTAATTTTCACAACATGTGTGGTGTAATGGATAATGGCTCAGAATGAAAAATCAGAGAACTAAGTTTGAATTCAGTTCAGTTATTCACAATCACTTACATGCAAATACCCTTGGGAAAGGTATGAATCCATCTCTACTCCCTCCAGCTATGGGTTAAATAGCAGGACAGACTGGGTTCTATAACCTTGGTTGGCAACCAGTCTATTGCAAAAGAATAGAAACCTGCTGTGAAAAAATCTTCTGCCTATTCAGTCATAAATTGAAGGATACAAGATTGCCAAAGCATGCATCATATAACATACTGACTGACTCTAACTAGAAATCAAGTGACTCTCTTTTCTTTTTTATCTCTTTATCTTTTTCTCTCCTCCTCCTCTTTTTTTATTGTACTCTATGGATTTCCCTGGTTTGGGCATACATACAATCTAACAGATTAAATCTTGTCTTTAGAATCAAAAAGATCTGGCCTGAATTGGGAGATCAGTTTGAATTTCAAAATTTCATATTAGTCTATCAGAAATATTTTTTTGTTTTAGCGTTCATGAGGAACCTCACAAAAGCTCCTGTATGTTATTTTAAATATTATGTAATGCTCTACATATGGTATCTATCAATTTAAAACATTTTAATTAACTTATGCACATTGAATTTTGGAGCTTTATTCCCAGGGACAAATCACCATCTTTTAAAATGCGTAACAGATTTTGGCATTATGGTTATTTTCTTCCATTTCCCAAATTCTGTGAACACCTTCAGCAGCTTTGAGGCCCAGCTTAAAATAATTGCTGAAAAATTGGCATAATGTCAAAATCTGTATTTGTCATTATAGCATGTGAAACAAAAAGTATAGTTGAATCATGTTGATAATAATAATATAGATCAGATGTTTGATTACAAATAATCAAACATCGGATTTTTGAATCCCTTCTTGGTAGGGCCAAGAACATTTTAGCACTTAGATTAAATAACTTTTAGAGTAAGGTTTATAAAAATGTATATACTTTTTATGTACAATATATTATTTCATACATTTTCATATTCATACCTTAGTGTTTGCTACTGGGAATTATATAGCTTCAAGTCACATCCAAATTCCAACACATTATTATTATTATTATTAAGTATATTCAACTGTTACATTTCTTTTTTTTTTGTTTTTTCCAGTTTGAGCCATGCCACTGAATTTGCCTATATCAATTCCCAAAAACTTTTTTGGAACTCCAATCAAACCCTATAAGGGACAGGATTATGCAAAGCTGAAACAGGAATGTATTTCAAAAGGGGAGCTTTTCAAAGACCCTTTGTTTCCCCCTGAAAATTCTTCTTTGTTCTTCACACCTTCAAAAATATCTGAAATTGGAAACATTGTCTGGAAGAGGCCTAAGGTAACCAATTTTCTTTTCTTAAATTTCATTTTTTTTTTTCAATACAGCTTAATTATTCAATCAATTCAGAACTTCACAGACTGAAATCTGGATAATAAAGGAATTGTTACATTGCAGTTTTATAAACAGGATTTTATCTTCATAAAGTTCTGTTAGAAAAGCAATAAAGAACAAATACTTCTACATAGTGAAATAGTAGTAGTGAGCTCAAATACTTGATATTTGACTATTTTATAAAGTTTTATGCACTTCCTTTTGTGTGGGAGGGATGTAAATTAAAATATACCCCCATATTTTATAAGTATAATGTTTGTCTGGCATAAGACTACAATAGTGAAGAGGAAGAATTTACTAAACTACCAGTGGTCTGTAAAACAAGCTTACTAACCATTATTGGAATAGACTCTTATTGTAAAGTAAGTTTGTATTGTAAAAATTTATTTTATTACTTATTATTCTACCTGGGGTATAAAATAATTGACAAGAGATTGCTGGATAGTTCTAAGGTTTTTTCTCTTTAATTGGTTCCAGGTATATCCCAGCTTTCTGGTGTCTGCTTAAGATCTTGTTACAGGTGTTTTGTTTTTTTTTCAATTGTCCTCACTCTTTTTGTAACTTGAGGATTCCCATGTTACAGTTTATCTTGTGTTGTTGGTTTTTGTAGGTCATGCACAATCGATTTCCAGAGACTTCCAAATTTTCACCACATTTTCACGAATCTTCTCACAGAATACCCATCTTTTCCCAGAAGCTCTCATGTTCATCAGTTGTCAATATTTCTGTAGCAAGGTAGATTTTTATGCAGTATGTGTGCTAACTCCATGTCAAATTTCTGCTTTTTTTTTACATAGAATCTTGGGAACAACGTTTGCAGAGATTCAATAGTAGATAGTATTACTAAAATTAAAATGTTTATTTTAATGAAAGTAAATAATATTACTATTCTTCTTCATAATTAAATTTTTTATTTAACTATATATTAATTTTTTTTTCATTATTCTTTTTTGTTTTTTCAGTATTTATTTCTTTTTTTCCTACATTACTGTCTGCTTTTCTGAATTTGTGAATTCCTTTGCTATTTTAATAAAGTGTAAAACCAATAGATTTGTCATTAAGTAGTAGAAATTGTGACATTATGGAGAAAAATATTTTGAAAGTTGAAACTTTTTAATCCGTAGACTTCACTGACCTAAGAAATATTTATCTGAATTCCTACTGGCCAGAGGTTAAAAATAGTCCAATTCCTTCTGTATTTCCTGTTTTGTGATGCTTCAGTCACCAGGGATAAACTCTAGTCCTCTCCTATGTGAGAGGTGCTTCATGGGGGACATGCCGTTATTGACATGCAATAGTTCATTGATATTTTTTTTCCTATGAAATTTAAATAGCCTTTCCCAGATATTATCTATGTATAACATCAAAATTTTGAGCCAAGTGAGTAACTCAGACTAGTGTAAATTTCTTTGCTCAGCAGGGAGGGAATTGAAGGGAAACCATTTTATTTATATTACATACACACATGAGCATATTTGCATACACGAGTCTCTCATGTGACACAGGTTGTTTAGAATGAGCCAAATTGGTTGTTTGCCACTATTACACTTCTGTTCAGTACCAATTTCTGGAGAAAAAAAGATCACTTTTTTTTCTTTACTTGCAGAAGACAGTAGCTGCAACTTTCTGGACACAACAAAAGCAACGCAAAAAATGAACTATTAACACTATTTACATTGTTTGGAGAGCTGTCCTCATTTTTATTGCCATATTCACAAGGGTCCAAACAATGAAGATAGTGTAAATAGTTACAATAGCTCATCTCGTAAATATAGACAGACAAAGAATGAAATTAATAGTCTAATCATCTCTTAAAAAAATTTGTAGTCTGTGTGCATGTGTTTGAACATGACCTTGATAAAAAAAATTTTGTCAATGTTATTTTATTGAAATATTTTAAGCTTATTATACACATCTACAAAAGATACACTTGTCTTTGCTATGAACTAAAATCCTCTTTTAAAGAACAATAGTTATAAATATTATGAGTCCTTTTTGTTGCTAGATAGCATTGCATTTACTTTTAACTTGGGCAAAGTTTAACATGTGTACCCACAAAAACAATGTCAAAAAATTGATAACAAAAGTATTAAACACTATTCTTGTAAATAAACAGACTAATAAATAATTAATTTTTAACATTTTTTTTTATCATTCTTGAGAAAAAATGTATAAATCCAGAACATTGCAATCTATTTGAGTGAATTCATCTGGCGAGAGCAAATGAAAGAAACAGCTAGAAAATGCATTTTTTTACAAAATTTATAATTAGTTATATGTTTATTTAATTTTTTTGGTTCATTTGTTCAGATACTTTTATAAATTTATGAATAAAAAGAAAATTGTTTTCATAGTTATTTCTTTACAATATGATAAATAATAAATATTGTATTGTAGTTCATATATTTTGTAAACTTGGAAATATAGAAATATTCTTGTAAATAAGTGATCTAATAAAATGTTTAATAATTTTGTTGTCAATTCTTGAAAATTATTAAAATTCTAAAAATATTTTTTTTTTAAAATGATAAAAATTGTCGCATATGTATACAGCAATAGCAGTGTCAGGAGAAAAACTGTCTCTTTGAAAGGCATTTTTTCCTACTGTTTTTTTTTTTTCTTTTTTTGCTGGTATGTAAAACTTTGTCCTAACTTTTATTCTAAAAAAAAAAAATATTTTTTATTCTGTGATAACTGGCATAGCACTCAAATGAAAACATTACTTAAAAAAAAATTAAAATTATACAATGGAGCAACCTATTTCAAATATCCAAAATCAAATGTTGAAGATTCAGTGTGATTATGTTAATCACTTTGATGTTTAGGTTCCACTTAAGTAAAAAAAAAAAAGAAAAATGTACTTGTTCAGTTTTTGAAACAAATAATGTGCCATGCAGAGGGGATACTTTACAAAAATGTGAAATGAAAGAGTTCATAGGGAATTTAACTGTAAATATACAACACTACCTCCGCTGAAGCTTCCCACTAACTGGCCAGCGACTACTCCATTTCAATTCTCAATCTTGTCAATGTTCACCAAAACCTGGGAAAAAGCGTATCACATGCCTACAATGATGAAAGAAATGCCATGCTGAGAAATAACGCCAACCCTATTTACCATGTTTATATGTAGGTGTTTTTATTCAGTTCTCCACCTGCTCATCCAGGTGGGTAGTTAGATGATACTTGGGACAACTTCTGCTCTGTCAGCTCTTCTCACTGCCAACTCTTCACCCATTTTACTCATTCTGACGTGATGGCTTGGCAATACAAAATGGAAGCTTTGGAACTGAAACGTGGTCTCCCGACAAGCACTCTCCCCAATCCCAAGCATGATTGTCAGTATAAATCAGCACCCGGATATAACCTATTTCCGGTTTTGCTGTCACTTGATCTGCAAAAATCCCTCCTCCACCCCTTTTCTTCTCATAACCCTTTGGTTAAAATGGATGCCACTGAGAAGATGAAACCTTAAAAGGAAATATCTGCATTATAACTTAGCATTATGGAATTTGCTGTTTATGTATTATAAAGATATAAAACACAAGGTGACATAAAAGTGAAATTGGGTTCAATGTATCAGATATTAAATAGATTGAAAATTCCAGGTTTTAAATTAAAGAAAATCTTATAGAGCCTTAGGTTTCTATATTTTCAGCAACACTTTTTACAGTTAATGTTATATAAAAATGTGAATGAGTGTAATTCTGAAAGTAATGTTTTGTGTATTATGTTGGTCCATGACATCAGAACTTGATATTGGCAGTAGAGATTGAATGATTCTACCAATAACTCATGTTTGTTTTTTTTTGTTTTTTTTTTTCATACAAAGCAGAGATGTTTTAATGAATTCCTCTATGTGGGTGAGGGGAAAATGCATCTATTGATATTCATTGATGCTTAATGAATGTTTATAGAGATCAAACAGTGAATGTGAGCACAGTCAGGCAGTGGATAATGCTTGACGTGTGCATTGGAGAAGTTACTGCTACAGATTTGAAATCCTTGGGATCAGGTTTGCCTCATGTTATACCACATCTGTCTCAAAGCCCAAAACAACTCCATATTCTATTTGAGAGCAGATACTGTACTTTTATCATAGCCTGGAGGCTGAGCAATTATGCTTAAGTGTTAGGAGTGACATTTTGATCTTAGGGATGCATAGGGACACTTTATAGTTAGAGCACACAGATGCATGGCAAATGTGTTAATCACTGTGTAAATAATCACTCAGTTATGTGCCATGTGTGAGACATGCTTTGGCGATCATGTATCTTTTGATACATGACTGACGAGGCAGATTTTTTTTTCCTGCAGTAGGTTGCCATTTTTTTCTGTGGTAGACCGGTTGCCATCTAAAGCTATAGAACCTGTTCTGTCTTGCTATTTACCCATAGCTGGGGGGAGAAGAAGAGGATTCATACCTTTTCCAAGGGTATTATGGAATTCGAATTCATCTCTTTGATTCCTCCATCTGAGCCAGTATTCATTACTTCACTGTATCCTTTTTGATGGGTACTATGCTAACAACACAATGCTATTCTGTGATCACCTCTTACCTCAAATTCCTATGCTGGTTATTGTGTTCTATGTGACTTTCATATTTAACAAATCTTTTATGTTGTTTTTTAAGTCAACTTGAAAGGCTTGAGGAGTGTTCAGTGAAAACCAAATTTCAAGTTAATCATTGTTTGATATCAAGACCTTAATCCTATTTGGATTTTTATTTACAATTTGCTATAACAACCTAAATAGTTTCAGATAAATTACTAAAGCTGTGCTATTGGTTGATTAATAGTCTTCTGTTTAATTTCAGGACCTGCCTTCACTGAAATACGAGTGGTTGCATTACTGCAACATGTCAGCTTGATCACTCAACAGAATGGCATTTAACTATAGGCCATAAGGATTTGTTTTAGACTATATCAACAGCTACTAAAACTTTTAACCATAGCGCTGCTTTGCTGAAATAGTTGTGGGTGGTATTGTACTTATTAGCTTGCATCAATAACCCAACCAATCCCAAATGTAATAGTTAACTAATTTTTTTTTTTTTTCCTGAGGGTGTAATTTTTCTTAATGTTGGGTGAGGCTATGTAAAAACAAAAAAGCCAAAGAAAGAGTTTGGCTACTTGACATTACAGAGCTTTAACCCATTAATCTGATGGCCTTCAAACTGACTACCAAGCTATATAACGCTTACATTCTAAAAATAGGTCTTCATTTTTATACACTTGGTTTTATCATCTGTGCATTTAAGTTTCAACCTATAAGAGATTAGAATGCACGTAATATTGTTGGTTTTTTTGTTTTATCATTTATCAATGACAATGTTTTTAATAAGTACAATTACTTAAAGCTTCTATACAAATTTCATAACATATTCAATTCTCTTTCAATAGAATTGTTGCACATCAAATTACCGCTGATCTTAATTCCTTAAAACATGTTATAAACTTTGGTAATACACAAATAAGTCACATACATCTCATTTTGAAATGTTATCTTTATTTTATTTAGTGTTCTGTAGGAGTCAATCCCATATGCACATATATCAAATGGACAGAAATTGAGAGCCAAATGACTAAGTTAAAGGGAGATAACCTCGAGTTTATATACATTGTTTCTGTTGATAATGGGTGCTGTGTTAACGAATGCTGTGAATATTGAAATAAAATTCTTTTGTATCGATTTTTATACTTGCTTTTTATTTAAAAGAAAAAAAAGACTTATCAAGTAGCCATTTATTCTATTTGGATTATAGACACTAGTAGTTATCTTAAATGCTTTTTATTTGTATAAAGAAGCAGCATCTCTAATAAGTAAAGTTTAAAGTATGGATTGTGTTGTCCGGAAAGTTCATCATGCCGAATTTTGGTCGTTCTTGTTACAACACTTCAAATTTATCAACAGATATAACGTGCTTACATTTTTTATTAGAGCACACTTCAAACTATCTTTTGAGAGAGAAAGTTTAAAAATTACTTAATTCGTGTCAATTTTGCATCCCTATGAACATGGAAGATTATAAGGTGCATTTTAGAGACACTTGATGCTTTTTTTTTCCACAAACAACAAAAAATATATGTGTGGTGAAGGTGTTTTAGCTGACAACTGTATGGAACGAGTTCACTAAGTTTAGTTGGTGATTGTAGCCTTATTTATGAAGAATGCTCAGACACCACACTACAGATGATGACCAAATCAAGACATTGATCGAGAGTAACCCGCATTACACAATGCGGGAATTGGCAAAAACACTAAATTTATCAAGATCTGCTATTCATGAGCACTTAGTGAGACTTGGGTACTCAAATTACTATGATGTTTGGGTACCACATGATGTGGGTGAAAAGAATCTTTTGAATCGCATTTCTGTGATTTGCTATATAAATACAATAAAAATGCACCTTTTTAAGCAAATTGTGACAGGTGATGAGAAATGGATCATTTACAACAATGTTCAGCAAAAAAGATCCTGGTATAAGCAACATGAGCCAACTTTAATCACCTCAAATGCAGGTCTTCATCCTAAGAAAGTCATACTGTGCATCTGGTGGGATCAGAAAGGGATCCTGTACTATGAGCTTCTGCCAAGTAACCAGAAATTTGATTCTGAAAAGTACTGCTCAGAACTGGATGAATTAAAGGCGGCAATTCAAGAAAAATGCCTAGAATTGATAAACCGAAAAGGTGTTTTCCATCAGAATAATGCCAGACTTCATGTTTCTTTGGTGACCTAGCAAAAATTGTTGCAGCTTGGCTGGGATGTGTTACCCCAGCTGCCATATGCACCAGATATTGCTCCTTCAGATTTTTATTTATTCAGGTCTTTGCAAAATAATCTCAATGGTAAAAATTTTAATTCTTTGGATGACATAAAAAAAAAAACATCTTAATGAGTTCTTTGCCAAGAAACTACCAAAATTCTGGGAAGATGGAATCTTTAAGTTAAAGGAAAAATGGAGAAAAGTTGTGTAACAAAATGGCTCATATTTAGTTGAATAAATATTTAATAGCATAATTTTATGTGTTTTAATTTCCCTTAAAAATCGGCATGAATTTTCTGGACAACCCCATATGATTACAGCTGGATTACTTTTGCTCTCTGTTCTCATTGATTAAAGTGGTTTGCCAGTGAGAAGCTCTCTATTAACTGTATTGATTCATGTTTTTTATTATTACATTTATTGATAATATTAAAATGTTAAAGCTCTAGTTACTTAAAAAATAATTGGAATTGGAATTTCAGATAGTGATTTTATAGTCTATGATTTTAAGACTCATTATTCTAAGAGTTGTTTTGACTACTGAAAACATTCTGTTGATTTATTTTTAATCCCCCTCAGCAGAGAGAATATAATTATGGTTTTATCTGTGTCTCATGGGTTGTTAAGAATGGTATTGCTTGTGTGGCTCGGATTGCTTGGAATGAGTCAAGTTAATCATGATATTTCTGTTCACCTATTTAAAAATAAAATAAAGATAAAAGCATCCACAAAAAGAAAAGAGGTGATAACAAAAAGATAAAATGCTTCTTTTTTTTTGTTTTTTTTAACGCTGCAAAAATGGCAAATTCATAGTACTTTGTTCTTTCTTAGTTCAACACAGTTAAGAAATTAAACAATTTCCAGTCTAGAATGGGTTAGTTTTATTAGTAGTTTTAAATTTAAAAAGAAAAAAAAATGCCGGTCTAAGGGGGGTTACTCCAAATATGTTAATTCTTAATTACATAGTTATTCCCCTTGGTTTTGGGTTAAAAGTATGTATTCTTATCTTAATAATGGCATACAAGTGATAATTTCATAATTAATATTAATTAAGCTTAATTAATATTTTCAATTAATTATATGGATTCTAAAAATAAGTGACTTGATATCAAGTGAATACTGTTGAAGGTTGCATTTAAGTAAGTTTTAATAAGTTGAACAACACTTGGAGTGATTTTGATGATTAATGATGAAAATATATCTCAAAATTTTGAGTTCAGAATCTATCCAGGTATTTAATATTAATGACAAAAATAGCCTACCTGGAGTAATAGTCTCTTAGTCCTTATCAAAGTACTTTTGCTAGAAATTTACAAACTAATCCTGCTTTCTTTTCTACATTTCAAAGCAGTTTGTGAAGTACTGTTTTGGGGTTATTATCAATTGCTTTGTTTTCCTAGGCTCATCCACAGCATTTCAATGATAATTTTATTTTATTTACATATTTTTTTTTAATTTTTTTTGTCAAAGCCAGAAGTTATAGGAAGCTAAATGTAGATTGTAAAAATATCTAATTTACATTCATTTGATGATTCACATAGCAGACTAATCCAGTCAGTGTTAGAAAAGGAGTGCACATATTTTTCTAACAAGATTTCTTGAAATATTCAGGCCGGTAGATGTAAATAAATAAATATACTGTTTAATAAATAAATAACAGAGAATATACTCATATATGAGTATCTATTTAAAAGTAATGTTTAAACAAATATATATAGGGAAGAGGTTAGAGTAGTTCTAATAAGAGAAAAGCGTGTATATATATATATATATATATATATATATATATATATATGGCTGTGCAGGTACTAATGGCTTATAATGAGAAATCAGAGCAGAGTTCAAATTACAATCAATCTCCTTACATTCACTTATGTACAAATACTTTTGGCAAAGGTATGAATCCATTTCTTCATCACTCCTCTATCTATGGGTTAAATAATGGGGCAGACTGAACTCTTTAGACTTTATTGGCAACCAGTCTAGGGATACAAATCTGAATTCAAAACCTGAGGAGGGTTATTTTGAAACCTTGTGGCATACTATGTGTACAAGTTCTTTGTATTCATTTCTTTCAGAAAGTGTGGCTGGTTCTTCATGACCCTCAACCACTATAATCAAATTATATCTGCTGACTGTTAAGTTCTAAGAACTGAACTCCTGGATCCTCATACATCAAAGACAATGAGAGAGTCCATCATATAACTACAGACATAAAAATACCTTTCCAGAAAATGATGTATATTGCTATGTATTAATAAGAATAATTTAGATTAAAATTCTGATTTATTTTTATTTACAGGAAATCTGCGATGCCCCCAAACTGTTTGTTGAAGGAGCTAACAGTGGAGATGTTACACAAGGATCACTTGGGAACTGTTGGTTTGTGGCAGCCATGTCTTGCTTGGCAAATTATAAGGAAGTTTGGAACAGGGTAAGGCTTTACATTTTACAAGGCAGTGAGATAGACATCACCTACACCAACAAAACAGAAATTCATAACCATTCAAAGTGAATGTTTTCATTGCTTTATGAATAAAACAATATCTCATTAATATAACACTTTGATATAACAATCCATCTGGAAAATCAAAAACCTGAAATATTAAAACTCTACATGCGAAAAGCAGAATAATTAGCAACATTTCAGATGCATTAAAAAAATTCTGACCCTCAAAATCACCCTACATATGATGCAGTGTACACCCTAATTTAACAATTCAAGTTCATAGGGACATGGTGCTTCAGGGTTAAAATGAACAGGTTGATTTACCAACAAGAAAAAGATTAATGAAGAATGATAATGACAAGGAAACACATGATTAATTTTAACAAAACAAGATAAGGAATTTATTCACAAACTTACATGCTTGAAGTAGTGTCAGTAGCTCATTTCAGGAAAATAAATCTGAATTCTTAAAGTCCATAGTTTTAATGTATTGTCATGAAGAAGAAATGTTCATACAACAGATTAAATAATCTAACACAAAATAATATTCAAAAGTGTTTAAGACAAAGGTAAGAGAATTCGTTGCTCACTGAAGGGATATATGGTTTGCATATGTTCAAAAGTAGACTTAGCTTTCTTGGATTGTCAAGAGAACATTCTTTGAAGAGTGGGCTGGTTAGAGGCCAATTATTATAATTGACAAGTAATTTAATGCTGGTCATGAGGAACTAAAACAAAATGTTTCACATGACTTCAGACCCTCTTTTCTGATTAATTTAATTATTCTTCTCATTTCATATCAAAATGAATTATGTATAAGCTTGCTGTTTTCTTTCTTTCTCCTCAGCTGACTGGCTAATTTCTGTGAAGGCAAGGTTTTCATTGGTCCAAAGAAAATTTCATATAGACTCACAAATTTCTCTCCTTCTTCTCAGTTCACCAGTTAATTTCTGTGAAAGGCAAAAATCTCACATAGGCTCACAAATTTCTTTCCTGAATTTGAAGGTAGTAGGTGAAGGAAATTATTATTTCACATTCATTACAAGTTTATGCCTTGACACAGATGATTGGCTGTAGAGAAGATATAAAATAGCAGAAGCTGATTGATGCCTTTTAAAAACTCTTTCAAAAAAATTCCCTCTCTTCCATTTTCCTTTGGAAAAGCTCATGTAAGTAGAAATGTAGACTCTGCTCTTAATGAAAGGCACAGCCAAACCTTTATTTTATTCCTATTTTGTAGAATAAATATTTCATAAAATTTCAGCCAGTCTTTTACTTTTCCTACATTCTTTATGTTTTAGTTGAAAATGTATAGGGTGGTATAGATATTTCCTCAGTAGATAATTGTAAGGAATTTGGCTTTTGGCAACTTTATTCTAATATACAACATGACTGTGTCAGTCCCTCACATTTCTTATTTACTCTCTTCTTGTACCACAAGTGACAAGTCTTTTGTTTCATGCTACCCAATCCACTGGGAGTTGAAACCCTAAGTTATCACAGACATATCACATGAATGGGGCATAGAATTAAAAACCAAAAAAAATTTAAAAAAATACTGTTTTTCCTTTGATTAATCTTTTAAATAAGAAAATATCTACATTATTTACATGCAAAATCTGTCTATATTTCTGAGATGAGGTACTATGTACACTATTTACATTATTCGAACTATTGTCTTCATCTTTGTTGGCATATTTATCACAGTGTTTCGACCATTGTATGCTCTAGCCTTCTTCAGGTGGTTGGAATGTCAAACTGAACCCTTTATTTCACTTGCTGGGGTAGACTGTTCTAGTTCCATGTGCCATGTCTAATGGATGTCAGTTATCAGTTATCTCCTGTTAATTCACCTCTCCAAGTTATCCACTGCCTTAACCAGGTATTGAACTCACAACTCTTTGGATCCTGTCACTGGATCTAACCAATGCCTTTACCTACTGTGCTATATGTCCTTAAGGACAGATGAGGACAATAGTCCGAATAATGTAAATAGTTTGCATGCAAACTATTGTCCTCATCTTTGTTGTTATCATCCCAACATTTCAGCTGTTGTGCCCTTTCTGCCTTCATGCTTATTGATCCTAGTAACCTTCGGAGAATTTTGAACTAGACTATTTGTTTAATCTATAAGGAAAGATTGTTCTTGTTTTGCTATGTCTAGGGATATCCTGTCTAGTTCTCAGTTAGTACTGCTCAGTTATTAGCAGATATGTTAACTTTGCTTGCAAAACCAAGACAATTTTTTTTTTTTTTTTTTTTTCTAGCCATTTTGGTGTGTGGGAAGTTGTCTTGTGTTATCAAATATGGCTGAAGTTACCAAGTATTCACTTTATAATCAATCCATTAATCAGAAATGAAAACAGTTTTGGTAGTTAAAAGATACAATCCTCTTATTGTCTAATAGTTGTTCAAAGAATCAAAATGTAACTGGAAAAAGGTTAGCATTTAATCTTGTTTTTTTGTGATAATCTTTTTCAAAAGCTTTTAGTCACAAATACTGGATGTAGGAGTGGTGAAAATTCATTGATGTCCCATTTCCTTGAAGGATCAATGCTATATGCAACTGAAAAGGACAAACTATAATTGATTTCATGATGAAGATAACATGTATGAAGGAGTCATTTTTTTTTTATAAAGTTGATTGGGATGGTATGCATTTGTATTGGGTTTTTGTACTTAATAACCTTTGTTTTAGAATAAAGTTACTGAACAATATTTGAATAAAACTAAAGGAAGAGAGTGTAAAAGAAAAAAATAAACATAAAAAATGTGATAGAAAATAAAAAGAAATATGATCGTGTAGTCCAAATCTATGTTAGACAATAATGGCTGGTGCTTCACAGGCTCTCTTAGTAAATTGCACATTAAATTGTAGATTTTATGGAATTTCTACAAATATGTATTTTTTTTTATATAACATATAAAAAATTTCAATTTTTTTTTTCTTTTTTTTTTCATTGATTTCAAACTCTAGATCTTAGAATCAGTCCATTGGGCATTTTTTAATATTCACACACACATGCACATACACACACATATATGGCTGAGTGTATATTTAAGACACTACCCAAACAAAAGTTTGACCATCTAATAAAAAAAATAAAAAAATTCTGATATTTGTTTATTTGGTCAGATTCTGTGAGTTGGTCCCAAAACTTTTCAGCACCTCCTTGTGTGTTATATATATTTTCATACCTGCTTTATTTTATTCTTGAAGGTTATACCTGATCATGAGACTCAAGACTGGAATGATGAGAAACCTGAAGAATATGCTGGCATCTTTCATTTTCGATTTTGGCGCTATGGGGAATGGGTGGATATCGTAGTTGATGATCTGCTTCCTGTTCGTGGCGGACAGCTTATTTTTATTCATTCAAAAGAAAGGAATGAATTTTGGAGTGCTCTTCTTGAGAAAGCATATGCAAAGTAAGTTTTTCAATTTTTTACTAATAAAGATTTAATTAATTCTTCCTAACATTTAGAATATGGAAGAAATTTGTCCAATTTAAATGTGTAGATGAAGCATGGAGAGTTCTAGCTATAAAGATCTGAATTGGTTGAACTAAAGAGTGTAACTCATTTGAACAGTTGCCATGGAAATAGTGATAGTGAAGCAATAGGATTCCAATATAGTGTGTGTGAATGAGGTTACAGAGTGGAGAACAATTCACAAGATTGCAACAATGATCTTTAACTCTATCAAGATTGGAAAGTGAAGATTGAGCAGCACCAGTCCAGATATGGCTGCAATACTCCATTTTTGGTTTAATCCAACTCTTGTAAAGATAAAGTTTGGCAGAATGAATTAAGTATTTCAGGTGCCATAGAATAAGCCAATCATGTGTGTGTGTATATATATATATATATATATATATATATATATATATATATAGGTTATGAAAAACTAGGTAATCCATATGGGTAAACCCGAGGAGGATAAAATCCAGAGAGCTCAATGTAAATCCAGAGCAAATAATTTAAATAAAAATTCTCTTTTCATTTTTTGTTTCGAAGTAAAGTCTGATGATCCGCAGTCCTTTAAAAGGGCTGTGGTGAAATAATTTATTACATGGAACCTTAAAGTGGTCTGTTTTTATTTAAAATATATATATATATATATATAAATACTTATTTTTATCAAGAAAAAATATTGACATTTGTGGATAGGATGTAGCTTGGTAATTTGATCAGAATTGCAACTTTAGAGGTTTATATTATATTACTCAAACTTGATCAGTAATGCTCATTATCACCTAAACCTAAAAAAAATCATTATAATAAATTCTTCAATACCCACCAGATATGAAAAATGAGTATTGAAACACTTGTAGCAATACTAGATAGATAGATAGATAGATAGATTTTTCTTTTAACTCAATTTAATGACCAAGATTTTTCAAAGCCCTTCTTCCTCATGTGCCCGACAATAAAAAAGTGGTTAATTTTAATATTTTAATGATTATTTGCATTATTTCCTGAACATTATTAGAAATTTTTAAAATTATTATTTATATAACAGGGTGAATTCACTGGATTGATATTTATTAGTGTATATGATGGCTGAATGGTGATTTGAGGTAAGGATCAAGTTGAGAATTGGGTGGAAACAGAAAAACATGGAGGTTGCCAGACTCTAAGAAAAACTTTCCACAATTGCAAAAAGACAAATTGATGATGGCTGGCTTGTGTGTTCTCAAAATTTACCCAGCTAGAATTGTTTTGAAAAATCTTATCTGGGTTAAACCCATTCTGCAAAAATTGTTATTTCATTGTTAGAGTGATTTCCTACATTTCAGCCTGGTCTGGGCCAAGTCATTAGGTAGATGATTGTTTCTGACTAGGGGTCAATGACCCATTAACAATGGAAACAGATGGATTCATAATAAAACTAGACAGCCAAAATGCTATGATTAGTTTCATTCCAACCTCTTGTTGACTGCAGTCAAATTCCACATCATCATAGCTAAGCTTCTGATGCACACAAACAGGTTTTAGCAATGATACCTGCAGAAAAGAGTGAAAACTTCTAAACACTTCTACCTAGAACTACTATTTGAATTATAGTATCGAATTATCACTGGCTTAGGTTGCCCTTCAGTCAAGTAGAGGATAATAACCACAAGCTAACTAATGTTACATACTTATACATATATCATCATAATAAACCTGTAGTTGAGTTTGACAATGGTGTTAGTGTGTTCCTTGGAGTTTTCTCTCACATTTGTAATTTATATCAAAGCCTCTGATTCCGGGGAAAAGAGTTACTATGGTTCCACAGTGGAATTCAATTCTGCTGCAAAATCGTCCAGAAGAAATCCACTGACCTTCAAAAAGGCTGAGGGCATGTGCTTGCTGATGCCATTAGCTTTGATACAAAGAAAAACCAGATGTACTGCTTATGAGGTTGACAGAATGACCTGGATGTGCTGCATACAGATTAGCATACCTGTCTTCAAACACATATAAAGTCAGTGGCAGTCAACAAGAGGAGAGCAAGAAAGCCAACTGCTGGGAGTGTGGATTTGCGACTATTTGGATGTGCAGCTTTGTGACAGTTTGCTTTATTTTTTGCTACAGAAATACACGCTTTTGAAAGAAAGTCTTATCACTGAGCAGCATCATCAAGAATGCTATAGTACTGTTGGAAACCTATACAAGAAAATGATGATAGTATCCAACTCTTCATGATTAGTGTCCATGAATTGTTATAGGATATATTGTGTTGCCACAGGTCAAGTGATGTCGTATATTTGTATTTCAAAATAAACACATGTGCTTCAAAGTAATGAGAACGATTATAAATGATAACATTCAGAAGATGTGAATAATCATTGAAATATTAACAATGTTGACAATAAAATAACAACTGCAAATAAAACAAAATGAAGGAGAGAAAAAAGTAATTATTCGTTTACTTTTTTGCTTTGTCCTGATTTGAATTTGCAATTTTTAAACCAATGAAATAATGTTTTTTTTTTGTCATTTCCAGGCTCTTTGGAACCTATGAAGTACTCGATGGTGGAGATCTCTGTGAAGCTCTTGAAGATTTTACTGGTGGTGTATCAGATGCAATGTCACTTCCTGACCTGAAGGTGGCTGATGCATTGGAAGAGAGAACATCTCTCTTTGAACGTATGAAAAAGGAAATGGACCGAAAATCACTCATGGCAGCTTCTATCCCAGTTAGTAATCTAAAATTGAGTATTTAACAAGTCTGTTTGATATTGACCTAAACAAGATTTGGTGTTTAGTAATATGTCAGATAATAGCACATACTGGGGTAGTTAATGTATGAGCAGCATGGAATTTTATGAACCACTGGAGTTGCAACATAAATAAAAAAAAAATAAAAAATAACAATAATAATAATAAAGTGGATCCATTGTCAAAAGAGTTTCACTATAATAGTAAATTTCTCTGACAGGGTCAAAATCACATGGAAAAGAAAACCAACTGAGACAAACCACAAAAACACTAATGTAAAATGTAACAAAATCTTTAATTGTGTATGAAACAATTTGAAACAAATAATATCTGAATGTAAAACAATTTGAAACTAAGAATATCTGAATGTGAAAAAATGTGTGCAATACTGTACAATAGAAAAACACTTAACTTGGTTCAGTCAACTGAAATCAAATATGTTTTTTTCTCTTTCACTTTTTCTTTTTCTCTTTTCCTTTTTTTTGTTTTCTCTTTCTCTTGTTATGTGTGTGTGTGTGTGTATATATATATATATATATATATATTTCCTTTCTCTTTTTCTTTTTCCCATTCTTTTATATAATAATATTCAACATTTTATTCTTTCATGAAAAAAATGTTATTTCTTTTTCTGACTGTCTTTTTCAGGGTTGATTCATTTCCAGTTAGAAGTGGTCTTGATCCAGTTAATCATTTCTGACTTCACTGGGAGTTTGTTTGGGATGGCATTCTTTCTCTTCAATTTGGTTAATTCCCTTGTATGACAATTTCATAGACGTTCCAACTTCCTCAACATTTGTTGCTATAAGTGATTTTGTACTAGGAGTTTGTATGAGTTCGGAATGGCATTCCTTCTCTTCAGTTTGGTTAATCTATTTGCATGACAATTTCTTAAAAAATCTGACTTCTTAAAAGATTTGTTGTCCCAACTATTTTTGTCGCGTTCCTTTCATACACAATTTCAAATCATAAATCAGGTGACTTCACATACATAGTTATTTTTAGCATGCACATAACATGGTTGCTGGGGGATTTTGCCTGACTGCATGTCACAGAGAGGGTAATTGTCAGAAAAAGAGAAAGTTCACTATAACAACTTAACCTCTCTAGAGTTTGAACTTTAGTGAGTTTTATTTGAAGGGTATCAGTATAAGGTCGTCACAGGAGACACATTGGTGTAATAGATTGTAGCTTGGATTGAGGAATTGGAGAGTTAAGTTCATTACATTCACTTACATGCTGATAATACCCTTGGGGAAAGGTATGAATCCATCTTTCCTCTATTTATGGGTACATAGTAAGTCAGACCGGGTTCAATAGCCTCAGGTGACAACCAGTCTAGGAGTAGGAAAAACTCTGAATTCAGAACCTTCAACTCTGGGTAAATAGTAGGGCAGTCCGGGCTCTGTAGCCATGGTTGACAATCAAACTAGGGGAAGGACAACTTTGAATTCAAATTTGGTGCTGGAGTCCCTAAGACAGTCCAATGTCATGTTTCATTTTGGCAACTCCTGTGACGATGACAGTGACAAGCTTTATTGGCCTCTGCCTTTCCCTTTGTCAACATCAGTGGTAAGGAGAGGACAGATGTGCTGCATGGGCAACTGCTGACCTTTCATAAAAATATCTCTGCCTAGGCCTGTGTTCTTTGGGTGTAAATTAAAAATAAAAAAATTAAAAAAATGATCTCTTAAGACTGATGGATGTCAATAATATGAGCAATGCTTTGAAAATCCTGAGATTTTCAGGAATTAATGCAAGCTTACTAACAGCATAATAATAAGACTTATTTATATATAATTATTTTTTTGAAAAATAAATTAAATTACAGTTGATAATCCTTTGTTTTCAGAATCCATTTAAAATTGCTATCTCTTTCTTATGTTTGTATAAATCACTGATAATGAATGAATCATTAATTTCAGGCTAAATCAAGTGAAGAAATGGAAGCTTCCTTGGACTCTGGCTTGGTCGTTGGACATGCTTATGGCATTACTTGTGTGAAAAATGTCCATTTGGAAGGTTCTGGTCTCTTTGGTTTGTTTGGACGCGAAAAGATGCAGATGGTCAGATTACGTAATCCATGGGGTCAGTGTGAATGGAAAGGGGCATTTAGTGATGGGTGAGTTTTTAATTCAAACTTTTTCCCTGTAAATGCAATTGATGTGATTGGTATATTGGCTAGTAGCCTATAGTTGAACACTTAGTACATCTTAATTGTTACTGTTTGTTAGATGAAGCATTATAAATGGTTTAGCCCAATACATCAGTGTGGTAATTGGCTATGGTTAAGTGTAATTGACAAACTTATCAATAAACAGAATTGACAAATTTCTCAAATAATAACAGAAAGCAAAAGAACAAGATAAAATAATACTAAGCAAACAATATATATGCAAATCAAAACTAGACAAGGTATCAGTTATAAAGTAAAATGTTCTCAAAGTAAGAATTGTGTTCACATGCAAAAGAGATACAGTCAATTGGTTATAGTCTTTTGACTTCAAAACAAGAAAGAACAAAAATGTGATTGACGTGACTGAAAATTGGTTCATTTTTGTTGGTTAAGAAGAAATTGCAGCATGCATCTGTGGGATTTGTCTATAAATTTGGGAGATGGGAAGATCTTAGCAATCATTCCTGCAGAGATTGGAACTACCAACATCTTTTTATCTTGACAGTAGGAAATCAATTTTTACTTTACACTTCTCAGATGTAGATAATACTTTAGGTAAAATTCTGAGGAGACAGTTTATTTGTAATAATAAAATTTTAATTATCTGTATTAGTTACATGATTATTAAATTAAATTTAATGTGTTCATTGCTACCTTGGATATTTGAACCCATATATAATATCATTTGTTTTTGTTAACGTTACCATTTTGAAATTTTATGATAAAACTATTTATATCCTATTTTTGTAAATAAAATTGAATTTATTAAACTATTAAAAATGATGTTAATATACATCCTTAGCACTGGTTTTGTTTTTCCTTTTTCTCCATAGTGCCACATTATGCATTTTTGTTTCATGGTTGTCTTTTTACATGTGCATCATGGAATGTGTGCGCATGTTTATTTTTTGGCAATATATACCAAAAGATGCACTTATGTGTTGTGGTTCAGTAAACCTGTAAAAAGAAAATTGATTTCTATTCCTAAATTGCTAAGATAGACTCTGTAGATGTTCCATGGTCAAGGGAATTATTCTTATTAGTAACAAGTGTTATGGCTGGTTGAACTCACAGCAGCAATGTATACATGGTTGGAGGTCAGTTGTAGTAGCAGAAGGTCTCTTGTGGTTAAAGACATACTGGAAGCCAACCACCCAGAAGGAGAAAAGTGGAAGGAAAGAATATCTATCACTGTTAAATTGTTACTGCTGATATACTAGACAAATTATGTTTTTGATGTGTAGGAAAATATGAAGGCTGTTGATGCATAATAATAAAGTTTATTTTTGTATAGACCACATTTTTCAATAAATGTATCCATTTATAACACATTAACTTTTATTACTGTGTATGTGACTTCTTTTGCTGTACAAAAAGTTGATCCTTCCACTGAAAGTGACTCTGATCCCTGAACAATGTGTTTGAATCACATAGTTGTGTTGTCATATCCTGCTATGGCAACAGAAAACAACTTTGGGTGAAATTAACAATAAGGATACTGCAGTTGAGAAGCTTTGAAAAAGAATGCAGTGGATAGGGAAGTAATATTAATAATGCAGAGTGCTAAAGGTTAAGTGAAAAGAATGTGTGTTAAAGTCTCTAATAAAATGTGAAAATGTTGAAGTCCTTGTAATAGAAAATTTTGAACATAATTAAAAATTCACTGAGATGAGGGGAAAAATGAGTATAATTAATTTGGTTTAAAAGTGTGCATGATAATAGTTAGTGTCAAAAGTTGGAGAGACAAAGTAACATGAGCTAATCAGCAGGTGAAGATGTTCTCTTGGTTGAGAAGGAATTGTCTGCTTTTTAAAAGGGATTGTCTGATAGGGATTTTAGTCTTAGCAAGAATTGATTCTATTGGCTGGAATATCTTTTGGTTTATTTTTCTTCCCAGACAGAAACTCTAAGTGATTCATCTGAACAGACACATAATTTTTAGTCATTTGTCCTCTAACCACAGAAGCATTAACTTCTAATTCATGTCATGCACAACATCACCCCAAAAAACTATGAAAGTTGAATGTCTAAGATACAATTCATGACCCTAGCAACTGAGGATATGGGAGATTACTTAGCCCAAACAAAAATTAATTAATTAATTTTGCTGTAGAATCTATAGATTATTTTATTCTTAATCTTGACAATGGTCTCTAAAATACTTACAAATATCACCAGGGACTACATTACATGAAAGGAAGCTTGACTTATTGAAATAAACTGAATCCTTGTCTTTTTATGTTGGTTTTATATGTGGGATATTGGTTAATTTATTGTTTATGAATTTGAATTTTTATATTTCTCTCTTGACAGTAATTTTAAAGTAAGAATGAACACAAAAATGGTAAGAGGCTACTTTAGAATCAAGTGATTATGGAGTAACTGATATGAGATATATTATTGATTTGCTATTTACTTGATGTTGGTTGAGTTAAATACCACATATAGTTGTAAGAGTAACAAATGAAAAGAACAAAGTATTGCCAATAAAGTGGAAAGAAAAGGAAACAAGATATATTAAAATAAAATTACCTGCACTGCCAGTATAATAGATCAAGGTGGAATGTCTCTTTTGTGAGCAAGGGAGGTATCCTGAGAGATGAGAAATTCTATAACACATATTGTTGAATTGATATTATATTGTTATATATCACATATGGTTGCAAGAGTAACAAAAGGAAACAAAATAAAATTCCCTGTACTGCCAGTATAATGGATCAAGGTAGGATGTCTCTTTTAAGGATGAGGAGCGGGTGCGATCTGGAAGATAGGAGTGTTGGTTGCATATGGACCTGGCATTGACCTGGCATTGAAGCTTGTGTTGGGTTGGTTGACTGAGAAGCCATTAGTGAACTTTGTGAACTGCCTGTCTACTGATTTGAGTGTTGCCGAGCGGGTCCTTTTAAGCAGTCCAGGTGGATATGTTACTCAGTGTTTTTTGTCATGCTTTTGCGGCAACATTTATGATTGGCTCCAACATTTAAATTTGTGTGAAAAAAGATTGTCTTTACTCACAAATCAGTAGAACATCTCTCTCCTTCGGTATCTGCAAACACTCTTTCTCTGTTAAAACATAGGTGCTGAAAATGTTAAATCTTCATAAATATCTGTAACAGAAAAATCAGTGTTATATCAAATTAGTGTTAGACACTAAAACTTTCTCTTGAGACCTCGAAAAATATTGAGGAAATAGAATTGTTACCTTTGTTAAATGATAATCTAGTTAAAAAATTTTCTAACTTCTAATAAGTATACCTTTCTTTATTTGTCAGTGCACCAGAATGGGAGAAAATTGACAAAAATGACCGAGAAAAGGTTGGATTAACTTTTGAAGATGATGGAGAATTTTGGTTAGTTTTACATTTTTTTTTTTAATATAATTTGGTCTTGATCTTTAAAATTACTTTTTTTTAGAAAGTAATTTTCTGGATAGTCACAGTTTTCTCTTTGTTATAAAAGAACACTAATACCTAGAATTAATTGATCCATAAAGAAGTTTTATTTTATACTTTAATGAACTTCGAAATGCATGTCATTGTACATTGGTTGGAATACTTGCTCAGCAAATTCTTTACAAAAGGAATTCATTCCTCATTGTATTACCCATGAATGTAACTTTCTGTTAAAGTTGGCAAAAACCAACAAAATCTTAGAATAATCACTTCTTATTTTTGAAAAAGTTGATTCTATTTTATGTCTATTTCATAAGAGATGAAGATCAAATATCATTTTTTCAGCTAACAGGCATTTCAAAAAATGTATTGATACTTAGTGCTGTACAGTTTTTATAAATGTATTGATACTTAGTGCTGTACAGTTTTTATAAATGTATTGATACTTAGTGCTGTACAGTTTTTATAAATGTATTGATACTTAGTGCTGTACAGTTTTTATAAATGTATTGATACTTAGTGCTGTACAGTTTTTATAAATGTATTGATACTTAGTGCTGTACAGTTTTTATAAATGTATTGATACTTAGTGCTGTACAGTTTTTATAAATGTATTGATACTTAGTGCTGTACAGTTTTTATAAATGTATTGATACTTAGTGCTGTACAGTTTTTATAAATGTATTGATACTTAGTGCTGTACAGTTTTTATAAATGTATTGATACTTAGTGCTGTACAGTTTTTATAAATGTATTGATACTTAGTGCTGTACAGTTTTTATAAATATCAATTTGTAAAAAATAACTTTTCATATATCTATATTTGATGTTTAGTTTGTCTTAATTTATTTTATTAAATAATAATTTAGCTTTATTCCTAATTTATATATCAAAAGTTAAAAATTATAAACATTACTACATATAAATAAACTATATAATTCATAATTATGTAAGATTAAATTTTACAAGATCTATTATTTATTTTTAAATTTATTTCAGATATGTTTACAGGATTAATTAAAAATGTTTTTATTATTTTTCATTTAGGATGACTTTTGAAGATTTCTGCAAAAATTTTGTCAATATTGCTATCTGCAGAGTTGTAAACACTTCAATTTTCTCAATAAGAAAAACTTGGTCTGAGGGATGTGCTGATGGATTGTGGGCCAAGCCAGCAAGGTGTGGTGGGTGTATTAACAACAGAGAGACTTTCCTTAATAACCCACAGGTGATATTTTTTTTTGTTTCTTTTTGACAGTGATAAACGTGAAGGGTCAGCTTATCAAGATGTTACTTTTTATTTTGTCTTGACAGTGATTTTCTGCAATTAAAAATTTTCAGAAAAGATTCTCATTTGAGATTCAGTTTTTTAGCTTCAGTAACTGTATTGTGATATCCATGCATTATCAATAAAATTAGCCTGGAATTTTACTTTGATTTTTATTCCAACAACAAAAAGTAAAGGTGAAGTCAACTGGCAAGCTGTAGGTTTCTGTTAGAATAGCCTTCTTTTAGCAGGCTTCACTTACTGGGGGCCAGAACTACATCTAGCAGCAAGGTTTCTTATCAGGACATTGGAGGTTTTGAGAAGTGTGGAACCACCTCTTAATTGTTATTGTTCTCAAGTCCACCTTGACCCAGGGTGGTAGCACCTGTTAAAGTCCCAGCTATGGGCAAATAATGAACACCCAAATGAAAACAAAGCACTATGAAAATCTAAAAATATATTTTTATAGTAAAAATACCAGCAATATATTATATATATATATAAAAATAGATCAACAATACATTTTATCTGTGGTTGAAGGCATACGATTGCATTCAAAATATTTAGATTTCAGCATTAAATAACCTGCTAAACAAAATTAATAAAGCAACTATACTGGTATCAGGGAATATTCCCTGACTTGACCTATTTGGAAAAATGTGTGATGACTTTCACAAGTCTCTTATAATAAATTGCTTCAAGTAGGATATGAACTCTGTTCATTTATTCAATTTTCCATGCTGGTAACAATTATGCTCTCCTACAATTCAAGCTTAGTATATCAATATTTATTCACATCATGAGAGTAGATAATTCTCTAAATTTTTTTTTTTGTTTTGTTCAACAGTTTGCTTTTGATGTGACTGAAGATGAAGATGAAGTAATGATCCAATTGATGCAAAAGACATCAAGAACCAAAACTGGAGATGACAATGAAACAATTGGATGCACTTTGATTAAAGTAAGTAATCAAATCTATTTTGACACTTTGGTTTTCTTTCTTATTCATCTGAGCAATGTTGATATCATGGGTAGGATTTAATTAGCAAATGTATCAAAATTTTCATCCATTCAAATGATTATATATATATATATATATATATATATATATATATATAGTAACACCTAAAATACTGAAAGCATGTATGAGATTAATCACATGCCAAATTATCCTTCAATTTAGCATGTGAACAATTTTTAACATTTTTTAATAACTTCTTAGAATGTTTAAATTTGATTTCTAAATTGAGGCCAAGAGAAGATGCTATCCTACTGCCCAATCGAAGAGGCTGCTATCCTTCTGCCCAATCGAAGAGGCTGCTATCCTACTGCTCAATCAAAGAAAGGTGTGAAGGTCATTACCAGTGATATGAGTGAATGAAAATTCCCATTGTAGTATTTATGACAATGATAGGAAGAATTATGAATAGAATTTTATGAGTTTACTATTTTTTTTAAATTGATTTTAGCAAAACTTGGCATGCAATCAGTATTTTGTATTAAAATCAGGAAGAAAAATTAGTGATTTTTGGGAACTAAGGCATGTGTTAGTGACAAAACCTGAGAAAGATCCAGGAATGAAGAGTAGGTCTATAGGATAGATTAACTCTTCTGTGATGCAACTGGGTTCTCATAGCCTAATCAGTTAAAGCAGTTGGTATGTTCACTCCGGCCTCTCTAAGGCAAAAAGGACAGGAATTCAAATCTCACTAGGAGCTTATTCTTTATTTCTGATTTGCACTGTCAATGCACTTTAGAATTGACAATTCAAGTTGCAATAAAAAGAAATGAAAAAGATTAAAATGAAAGTAAATGCTAATCAAAATCATTAATAATGTTTGGTAATGCTTCATCTAATCAAAATAAAGCTAATAATAGTGATACTAATTTCTTACTAATCTTGTTTTATTTTTGGTAGTTTAGTACTAGTTTAAATGTTCAGTGCATAAAAAACAATTTGAAAGTATGACTATACTCTTAAAAATTACAAGATTGAGTTAATAGAAAAATGTTTATTATTGAAATATATTTTGTCTTCATTTTTTTTTTTTTTTAAACAGAACAAATTATTTTTAAAATGACTTATTTAAAGACAATTTAAAGATTTTCTGGGTATTGAGTAAGTATGTTTTATGGAAATGAAAACTTTTGGAAATCTTAATGAGCATAAAGCAGTGGTTTCCAAACTTTTTGGGGATGCCACTACCTTGGCTCCCAGACCATATTCTGAGGATCTCCCTCCTCTCTTCTTTCTTGACATTGTCTACTGCATATTTAAACCCAGCAGCTTATCTAGCACTAAATCATGCTCACCCAGAACCTTGGTTCACATGGTTTACATCCACATCATGTTGAAACACCTGTTGCCAAAGTTAAGCTGTGTTGAACCTGGTCAGTACCTAGATGAGTGACCACTTAGGAATACCAGGTGTTTTAAGTTTGAATGTGTGGGTGGTAAAATGGATAAATAATGATTCGGAATTGTTAAATAGAGAGCTGAGTTTCAAATCCTTTTGTGTTTGTTATATTCATTTATGAGCAAATACTCTTTGGTATGAATCCCTCTCTTCTCCCCTCGGTTATGTGTTAATTAGTAAGATTTGTATTACTAAACCATTGTTATCTAATTCTTTCAATCTAAAAATATTTTCTGGCTTTAAATAGCCTGTAAAGGATTGATAAACTGTAGAAAACAAATGAACTGATCAACTTTACCCTCACAGATGTGAAAATGCAATAATTATCAGTTGCCATGGGGTCTACAGTTTGATTTGGATGGAGTGTATTCTGTCCCTGACTACATCATCAAGATACAAATATTTGACTATTAACTTCGAAATTTAGCCCCAAAATAAAATAAATATTTTTTTCATATAACTGTTAATTTTAATCTTTGTAAAGCATACATGTTAAGTGTTTGTGACTTCAATTTTGCCATACAGAATTTGTAAAAAACAAAAAGAAATTCTGTTCATTCTGAAACCTTTTACTTCCAACTGATCTCTTTTTCCTCACTGCCCTTTTAGGTCTTTCCACCTCTGGAGGTGGGGGCTGTGTCTCCTATTTTCAGATGACTGGGTGTAGAGTAAAAAAACAAACAAAAAAGGCTGAAGAAAAGGTACTTCTCATAATATAACTCTTCACCCATAAATATATCTACATTCAGCCTGCCAGCAGATGAAGAATGTTAGTTTGGAACCAATGCTCTGAATATTGATGTCTACTTTGTTTCAGGTGGAAGAAAACAGACGCTACCGAATGCATGACTTACGCTATCAAGAGGTTATAACAAGCACAGTTTTCCGCAACAGCCGTTCAATCTTTTTGAGGACCAGCATGAAAAAAGGACGTTATGTGATCATTCCTTGCACATTTAAGTCTGAAATTGAAGGAGAATTTCTTCTGAGAGTCTACACATCCTCAGAAAACTCTTTCAGGTAAACAATCTTTCTTCAGTTGGTGAATGTTTAATATCACACTCTCAACAAAATAAACCTTCTTGGATTTGTTAAAAATTATAGATATTTATCAGATTTAACCAACTTGATCATCTAGCCACATCCACAGAAAAGTTGGTGAGTAATCAACTTCCTATAACTGCCCTGTAATGCTATTTGTAGGTAATTGAATGACAGCTATGGGAAAATAGTTAACCCCCAAACACTATGAAAGTATAAAAAATTTTATAGTAAAAAAAATACCAGCAATACATTATTGTAAAACAAATTACTAATGCTCTCAAGAAAATTAAATTTCAACATTAAATGACCCATAAGGAGTTCATATTCTGCTAAACAAATAAACAAACTGGAAAAAATTCTGTAATGCATTTTTTTCTTTAAAATTACTTTATCAGACTAAAATGATTTTCTTATTGATGGAATTATATATATATATGTCTTTTTCTATGTGCTGTGTTCCTTTGGAATATTGGTGATCATGGCTTTCCCCAATTTCATGTCCTTTCTAACACTTGATAAATTTTGTCTTTTTGTTATTTCTCCTAAACCTTGTTTTGTTATCCATTTACTCAAGCTTGCTAGTTAGGTTATGTGTTGTTTTTCTATGTTCCTTTTTCCTATTTCTTAATACTTTGTTTAGCTTTTGGAAGGCATCTTTTATTATTCTAATGTGTCTTTGGATTTCTGTGTTGCACTTTCCATCCTTTGTTAAAACATTTCCCAGATATTTAAATTGTACTTTGATTTTGGTATCTCCAATTAGTAATTTGCATACTGGGCTGTTGCTTTTGCTAACAACCATGCATTCTCTCTTGTAATTTCTTCTCACTTTCCTTCACTATCTTCTGTAGTAGTTATTTTAGTTTCCTTTCTGTGTCTGCTGTGGAAATATAAAAAAAATGTTTTCTATAATTCTGTACTAAGATGCTGAAGATGTAGGGGTGTTAAATTTTAAAATTTCTGGTGTACAACATGTCTACATAGCTGATTTCATTTAGTTTCCTAATATGCTTTTTTATTGCTTTTGTCAGTGTGGGATATTAAAAAACAACAGAAGCTTTCTTAAAGCTGAAATGTTGCAAGAACCTGAATGCAAATTTACTGTGGAGTACCTAGAAATCTGCACTTTCATTTTGGTACATAATTGTAACATGTCTTGGGTTATATTACCTCCTCTCCCATATATATATATATATATATATATATATATATATATATATATATATATATATATATATAATGGCCATACATTTATCTTGGTGAACATCTGTATTACATGGCCATCCAGAACCTGGTCTACAGGTATAGAAGTGTTCATTTGATCACTGTTACCAACAATATCCAACATGCACAACAGTTCTCTAAGATTATCAGTCTCTCAAAGACCCACAATCTGACCTCTCTTTCTGGCGGAACATGTGGACATCTGTGTCCTGTTACTTACCTGCTTTCACTGAACTAATTCACAACATTGAACCTAAAACTCAGGCACAGGCAGTGCACTGCTATGAGTGTCACTACGTAACAAAATGGCTGAAGATTTTAAAAATGTTATCAGAGTATCTACTATCCAATAGCATACATATACTGTGAAAAAGTAAAAATCAGTATTGCCTTTTGGAACATTGCAATTTGCATTTCTGTATGTTAGCTCTTCGCTAGAGCAAAAAGTTCTTCCTCTGAAAAATTCTTATGTTTGGTCATATTTTGGGAAAATATTTCAGCACCTGTTATATATATTGTAATGCTATCTCTAACCTATTAGACAATTAAACAATCAATACTCATAATACTAAATCTATAATTATACTAATGAGGGAATATGTTCTATAGTTAGCTTTTCTTTTCTTTCCTGTCAAAGAATTAGGAAACCAGACAGTTGACTCCTGAAGTCATCTAGCCAAATCCCTAGAAAAGAAAAATGATGTCATTGCTAAAAGGCTGTTGGATGACTTAGTATTGTTCATTTTCTTCTTTCTTTTTCCTCCCCTTCTGTATGCTCAGTCCAGAGAGAAAAAGATCATGCGAGCACAGATCAGGGAAAGACAAAAACAGAGATTTGCAGCTGTGATATTGAGATGAGATGGTGGACAATATTTTGCGTCAAGCCTTACTGTTGTATTTTGTAAAACCCCAAAAGGGAAGATTGCAGTTTGAATAGCAATATAAAAAAAGAAAAGAATAGGCAAAACTGGTGGGCCCGGTTTTATTATTGAATCAGCAGAATTCAATAGTTAAAGTTTGAACGTTTAGGAGAAAGACAGACGAAACTGTGGGTCTGTTCTCATTTTTGTATTATTGTTGAATCAGTAGAATTCAATGGATTTGATAGCTTGAATATTGAAGGAAAAGACAGACAAAATCATGGATCTTTTCTTATTTTGTAATATAAAATTTATAGTCAAGACTATCATTAAAGAAGACAAGAATGGAAAATACTAAGAAGATTACCAAACCTCACCAGTGTTTGACAACCCTAAAAGAATTGGAGGTTAGGTGAAATCAGGATTATCACAGCAGAAACCAAGTGAAAAGCAAAATGCATGAAAGGACTATTTATCAGTTTATCCCAAGCAAAGAATAATACTATGAAGGTCTTTACTTTGAAAAAGGACATTTTGTAAGAACTTCATCTGAGAGGTACATAGAAAAAAAAACAAAATATATAAAGAAAGGAAAGGCCAAGATAAGTACATTTTGATGGATTTGAATTTGTTTTGTTTTATATTTGCTCATTGGATAATTTGTCTCAACCTCTCCCTCATAATAGTTGAACATTTGTTTTATTATTGTTAATTATATATATATTTGTTATAAATAAATGTTTTATTAAATTGAATACCCTCATCTTGTGTTTATCATTAGTCTCATTGTGTTGTTTGGAATCCCTGAGTGAGTGCTGAGAAAGATGACCCACTTTAGCAGACTTCAGTTCATCTATATGGTACCATTTCATAACACACACACACACACACACACATATATATATATATATATATATATATATATATATATATATATATATATATATGTGTGTGTGTTTGTAGTTTTATGGTATGCTATATTTATGTGCAAAAGTGTGCAATATCAAAGAGTGTCTGTAACAATAAAATAGGTTGTATAAAACAGATCAACAGCAAGCAGTGACAGTCTATTTCATGCTTACTTGAATGCAATCTTCAGGCTTAAGATATATAAAGAAAAAAAATAGAAAGTTTTCATGTGATGCAGTTGACTAAAAAGTAATGTTTACTTTGATGCAACTACACATGTACACATCGGAAAGGGGATGTTGAAAATTAAATTTTTTTTCTTTTTTAATTTTTTTAATTAAATATATGAGTGTCCTAGTTAAGACCATAAACTATATCCAACAGCAAGGCTTCTGATCAGGAGGTTTTGAGGAGTGTGGAACAATCTCTTAATTTTTGTTGTTCCCAGGTCCACCCTGATCCGGGGTTGTAGCACCTGTTAGGATCTCAGCTATGGGCAAATAGTTAAACTCCAAACTGGGGTCAAAATACTATGAAAGTGTAAAAATAGGTTTTCATACCAGCAATACATTTTTGTAAAAAATTATTACCAGCAATGAATTTTTGAGGAAAAAATTATTACAAGCAATACATTTTTGAAGAAAAAATATTAGCAGCAATACATTTTTGAAAAACATATTATCAGCAATAAAAATCTTGTCAGCATTAAATAAACCATTGTGGTTGATATGCAGTAAAACAAACCAAACCAAATATATGATTTAAGTATATAATCTAGCCAATTCCTTTTAGTTCCTTTTGCTGTCACTTTTGTTATTTGATAGCGATTTTCCAAGCGTAGCTTAGAAGTGGCACAAGGCTGAAAGTATGGGCACCCAGTGAGGATCGAACTTACTAATCATTTGTAATTGTTTTAGCGAGACAAGCTTGCTAACCATTACACCGCCTCCCTTTTGTTATTTGATATGCCACATCGTAATAATAGAAGGTCTGACAAGAAAGGTAAAATATTTTAAGAACTTAATAAGCTAAAATTTGGAGGAATTTACTCTATCATGTGTAATAATTGTCACAAAGAAACCTCAAAGAATTTAAATAAAAGATAAGAACACAAAAATATCTTTTACAAAACAGTTGAGTAAATGTATTAGTTGCTCACTGTAATGAAACTGATTATAATTTTTATTTTTATTTTTTTAAAAAAAAAGCTACTCTAATTAAAAGAAAGTAATTTACTAAGATGAAAATGCATAGAAAGTGTTTTAATTGCTAGATCATCCACAGTAAATTTATGTCTGGGTTCTTACAACATTTCACCTTTCTATGCAGATCTTCTATTATCACAATGTGTGATATTTAATAAGAAAAGTGATGGAAACTTAAAAAAAAAAAAAATGAAATCTGCTAGGTTATATACCCAAACACATACCTTTAAAAAAAAAAAATGAAATTTAAAATTCTCCACATCCCCTTTCCTTTGTGTGCATGTGTAGTCATGTCAATGGAAACATCACTTTAATCTGATGAAGTCCTAAAGAAAGAAATACATTGCACAAAAACTTTTCTACTTAAAATTTTTCCTTAAAATTGTTCTTGCTTTATAAATATTTATATATTGTTTTCCCATACATACGTGTGTGTCTGTGTATGTGTTTATATTTTGTTAAAGATGACTGACAAGGTACTATGATTAAGCTTTTTATTTAATTTTTTCCTGTGTTCATACAAGTGTTTTCTGGACACAGTGTATAAAAACTGCCCAAAAGTTCTGCATATCTGAGCGCTTTCAGTTATTCTTTTAGACATTATCAAGAATGATTTTTATTTTTTATTTTTAAATGAATGTGTGGGTTTTTATATGTATGATTCAGAAGTTACAGGAATTTTTTATTTTACAAACATAAGCACATTATGGCCATATTCATAGTTAATGTTATTGAGTGTTGGCTTTACCTTTTTTATTATTACTGTTTCCATTATTTTTAATCTTTTTTTTTTACATGTGGATGAAGCTATTATACTTGTATTTTCTACAAGTATGTTGCAGATGGAGTTTGGTAGGTTTCTGTGTGTGTTTAAATGAGTCCTAATTGTGCTATGGTCAGATAGATGTAATGTGAATCATCTAGATAGGCATGTAGTGTTACGACCAATATTTTTATTTACGAGTTTGATGTTATGACGAATATATTTATTTACAAGTTTGGTGTTATGATGAATATAGCTATTTATGAGTTTGTTGTTATGACGAATATAATTATGACTGTGTTTGGAAAATAAAAACATTCCTATAACTTCAGATACATCCATAAAAATACCCACACATTCAGTTAAAAATAAAAAATGAAAGTTCTGCATATCCTAAAGTACTTGGATATGAACAACTTTTGGACAGTTTTTACACACCTGGTGTCCAGAAAAGAAAACACTTATATGAACACAAGAAAAATTTAAATAAAAAACTTAATCACAGTACCTTGTCAATCATCTTTAATGAAACTTGTATAAAAGAGGAATTGTTGCCCAAATACACAATCAATAATATATATATATATATATATATCATCTATCACACACACACACACACACACACACGTGTGTGTGTGTGAGATAGATGAAACATGCTTATGATCTGATCATGAGTAAAGTACTGTAGATCATTGATTTAATGAAATGTAATAACCTGTTGTGTAGTTATTCATTTTCTTAATACTGCAATATGCGTCTGTTTCTATTAATTCTTCTAGGGTACTTGAACATGACCAACCTGTCCGTACTATGTGGCAATGCTGTGCAAAGGAACCGATTCTTGTGACACGTGTTAAAGTGATTAAAGCCACTGGACTGGAGAAACAGGAAAATACAGGTATGATCTTCCCAGCTTTACATTAAAGATTTGCTCAGTGGTTTGTAAATGTCCCATGTATACTGCTTTATAAATCTTTTATGAGGCAAAAATGAGGTTATTCTAGAATAAAAATTCATAGAAAACAAAGCTTCAAAGAAAAAGAACCCAAAAAATGACTTCCTGTAGACTTAGCTGTAACTATTATATGCTTATCAATATTTTTTAACTTAACAGAAAGATGCTTTTGAACTATATACATAAATCTTCAGAGATTTTTTATTTTTCTTACCATTTTATTCAGCTTCATAGTAGAATTATGCATGCAAAATAGGAACAAAAATATAGCAAAGCATACTTTATGCATTACAAAGTAACACACATTAGCCTTATATATACTGGATAGACAATAGCCTCATGAATTAAAGCATTTGTTTGTGAATTTGGTGACATAGTAATTGTGAGTTCAATCCCTGGGCTGGCAATGTGTATTTGGATTCAGTGGAAACTCAGCAAACAATAACTGATGAGTATTACAATAAGAGCTAGACAAAATATCCCTGACGTCTTGAAGGACACAATGCCCAAAATGTAGGGATAACAACAAAGATTAGGACAATAGTGCAGATGTAAATAGTGTAAATAATGATAACACCTCATCCCAGAAATTCAGACAAAAATTATTATATTACAAGTGGTAACATTTGCATTCATCTTTTTATATGAGGTGTATATGGATTGAGAATTGTAAATGTTTTTATGTTTAAAAGTGAAAATAGAAGAAAAGGGGGTGCATTTTCCTCATTTGAAGTTCTTTTTAATTCTGGAAAAGAAAAATGTTGTACAAACAACAAAATCATATATGCCATTTATAGAGATGATGTTATAGCTGAGAGCACAGTTTTTTAAGTGGTTTGCTAAGTTCAGAAGTGAAAATGTTGACCTGGAAGATTGAGAACAGTCTGGCAGGCCTGCAGTCATTGATTCTGACCAAATCAAAATGCTGATTAGAAATAATCCAGTTCTCTTGACATAGGACATCAGAAATAGCCTGAGAATTGTTGGGCATTTGAAAACATTCGTATATATGAATCGTTATGATGTTTGGGTACCTTTTCATGATTTAACAGAAAAAAAATCTGATGGACAACATTTCCATTTACAATTCTCTCATCAAACAAAAGTGACCTGCAAATTGGATTGTTTACAACAATGTAGAATGAAGAGGCATGGTGGAGTAATGGATAGCGACTCAGATTGAGGGATTGGAGAGCCGAGTTCAAATTTCAGTTGAATTCATTACATTCACTTACATACTAAACCCTTGGGAGAGGTATGAATCCTCTTCTTCTCCCCCTAGCTATGGGTAAATAGCAGGACAGACAGGGTTCTATAGCCTTGGATGGCAACTGGTCTACCACAGAAAGAAATGGCAATCTGTTGTGGGGAAAAAAATCTGCCTTGTCAGTGATGTATTGAAAGAGACATGATTGCCTAAGTGTGTATCACATATTGCACATAACTGACTGAGAATGAAGAAGATCCTGGGAGGAAAATGAAATGAGCTACCATTAATAACTCCAAAAGCCAATTTGCATCTGAAGGTGATGCTGTGTATGTGATGGGCATTGTGTATTATGCAAATTCAGGCATTGAATTCAGACAAGTCCTCTTCTCATTTGGACTGAATAAAGGCAACAACTGATGAAAAATGTTTGGAATTGGTCAATTTGAAGAACAATGCCATCAGAACAATGCCAGACTTTATGTCTCTTTGCAGACCCAGTAGAGATTGGTACAACTTGGTTGGGATGTCCTGCTACATCCACCATACTCACCTGACCTTGCAATTTCAGATTAACACATTTCAATTCTCTTAATGGGAAGAACCTGAACTCTCTTGAAGTCTGTGAAAACCACTTAAACTAGTTGATCACCAGAAAGTTGTCAAGTTCTAAGAGAATGGAATGGTGAAGCTGCCCCAAAGATGACAGAAGGTAGAACAAAATAGCAATTCTAAATATTGTCTTTGAAAGTCACTGAAAAAACACTACAAACTTTATAATAGTCTTGTCAGTAATGTGCTTTCTGACTGCTGAAAATATTTTTTCTTTAAAAACAATGAACTATATAGTGACTGAGGATCAAAACTTGTTAGATGATCCTGGATTTAATTACCTTATTTTTTTCTCTATCATCAGAATTTTTCTTAGTGCAGAAAATGACTAAAACTAAGCAAGTGAGTTGTAATCGGAAAAGCCAAAGTTTGTTTATGAGGTTCAAATGACTTTAGCCCTAAAATGATTATTTTAATTTTTTGCTTCTTCCCTTCCTTACTACCAGAATTTGCTGTGTTAAGTTTTACTATATATGTAAACATAAGAATGAATAAATTTTGACATATTCATCTAATCAATCCTGTTCATGATGTTATAGTTTGTATAAACATCTTATGCCATAAGGAAGTAAATCAGTTCCTGGTTCTGAATTTCAATATTAATTCTATTTAGAGAAAAAAGCACAGTTGAGAATAATCAGTTACATGAACAATTGAATGAAAATTAACTTGGCAAAATCATAAAAAGAATTCTGACATGTAACTTGAACAGTTTTTACTCTGCAAATAGAAAACAATATTTATATAATTTCCTTTTCCTCTCGATTGTAATTGATGAGTTAACTAAATATGAGAGGGAAAGTGTCTGACCATGAATGTGAATGAGGAAAAGTTGGGGCACAAAACTATTTGAAAAGACATCTTTTCAAACAAATGTCTCATACAACAGAGAAAAATTGAGAACTAATTTTTTTCAGAAGTCAAGTAAAAAGATCTTTCTTGACAAAATCAACATTAGAAAGGTGTCTATATTATCCCATTTTTTAAGTTTTCATGGACATACATGTGTGTAATTGTGTATTTTATGTTTATTCTTTGTGAGCCTTCAAAATTGTCTGGTTTGCGAAATATTGTTTTAACTCCACTAATCTACATACCCTTTTCCTTTTACTTGTTAATTTAAGTGTTTGTCTTCAACTTCCTTGCAAATAGGTGCAGATCCTTATGTAATAATATCATGTGAGGGAGAAAAGGTGTGCTCTCCTGTTAGGAAAGACACTACAGATCCAGACTTCAATAGTTCAGCCATATTCTTCCGGAGAAACCCAACCAATTCACCTCTTAAAATTCAGGTATGATATTATGTCTACTAACCCTAATTTGCTTTCCAAATGTAAATGTTCACTTATTTTTTTTTTTTTTTCAATTGTGTATTCAGTGTATAGTTTTCATAAGAGGTTTCTGATAATTTTTGTACTCACATAATATATGTAAACTGGAAGTATGTCTGGCATAATTATTATTGGTGGATCAAATGAAATTAGCAGGCCAAATTCAAATTTTGTATGAGGCAGTGTGCATTCACTTCCCACTAATTGTGGGGATTTTTCTGGTTGTGTGTGTGTATGCATGCATGCATGTGCTTGGCAGTGTATAGTGGAATGATCAAACCCAAAGTCATGGGTATGATGATAAACTACATCCATGTCTGGGGTAAGACGATAAACTACGTCCAACAGCAAGGCCTCTGATCAGGAGGCTTTGAGGAGCGTGGAACCTCCTCTTAATTGCTGATGTTTCCAGGTCCACCCTGGCCCAAGGTGGTAGCACCTGTTAGGGTCCCAGATATGGGCAAATAGTTAACCCAGAAACTGAGGTAAAAGGCATTATAAAAGTGTAAAAATAGGTTTTAATACCAGAAATACTTTGTAAAAAAATTATTACCAGAAATAAATTTTTGAAGGAAAAAAAAAATATTACCAGCAATGTTTTTGAAAAAAACTTACCAGCTATAGGTTTTTGAAAAATAATATTACCAGCTATACATTTTTGAGGAAAAAATATTAACAGAAATAGATTTTTGATAAAACAAAAATATTACCAGAAAAAAAAAATGACCCATTGAGGTTGATATGCTGCATAACATACCAAACCAAACCAAAGCTCGAAATAACTAAAAGTGTTTATTTGTGGTCAAAAAAGTGCAAAATAGTGGTATTTTGTAGGGGAAAAAGTTGAGTTTCCCAGAGCTCTTCACTTCAGTAAATGTTTCAAAGAGATTTCTCCACTTGTTCCCATGAAGAATGAGAAATCTCACTGTCAAGCTGCTAGGACTGGTACAGGACTTTTGCTGTAAGGGTTGCGAGTAATTTTTCCTTTGGGTAGGTGTCTCAAAGGGATATTTCTCTGCTTGTTCCCACATGGTACGAGAAATCTCAGTTTAAAACTGCCAGAAGTCTTCAAGGGTTGTGAGTGGTTCTTCGAGCTGGGTTTGAAGATAGCAACAACTGAAAAGGAAAAGTAGAAAAAGGGGCCAAATAGGGCTCTGTCAGTGTTTTTACGAGTTCTGGGACTTCCACCTGTTCTCTGCTGATTGAGTAAAGCAAGGAAACCTCCACATGCCACAATAGCCAACAAGTGAGATGGTTATTATATAATGGCCAGCTCTTCTTTCTCAAAATGAGTGAAATAGTAGGGTACAGTGGATGCTTTAGCTTTGTTAGGGTAATCTGTCCTGAAGAACCATACTATATTGAAAATCAGTTTGAATATTTGTCTTGTATGAGACAGACCCATTTCAGTACATGTGGTACCTCAACCGACAGTTTAATATGTACAAAATAACACACACACACACACAGTTTCTCCCAATTCATTTGACAATATTACAAATTGTGCTTCTAGCATTTTCAGTTTGAGATTTATGCTACTGACAGACATATTTTGTAATATCTTTAACTAAAAAATATAATAGCTTTTTGTGCATGAAATGTGTATTCAAATGTAACAACTACTATGAAACATTTGTAGTAAATGATTCTAATATGGTATTTATAAAATGAAAACTGCTTTTTTATTTTCATTTTGATGTCATCTGTATAAATTATATTCTAAGATATTTCTAAAATTAAAATATTTTAATTTTCCTTGAACATTTTATTCAAGTTTTCAATATTTATAATTTGATAGAAATATTAGTAAAACATCCAATGTATTTGTTTAAATTGGTTTGCTTGAATCTTTGGCACTTATTTTGGATTCTGTGATCTTGGAAAGAATCTGAATATATTAAATTTATTTAGCAAATGATGAAAGAAAGAACCATAATGAAAAGAAAAAATTTTTCATGATCCAAATATGATTTGTCAACATGAAAGTGGGAATTATTTTGCTAATGTCACAAGACATTTGATAAATGCTATTTGGTTTTAGTGAGCAAAAGAAAGATAGAGGTAGCAATAACAATCTTCTATGCTTCAGAAAAATGGAAAAAACTTGTTAATTCTACTTATAATTGTTATTATTATAACTACTTATTTCAACAGATTTTTGTAATTTTGTAAGCTTTTTGTCACAAAGAATGCCATCCTAAATTGTCATACTTCATAATTTGTGACAAATTCGAATTATTACCAGGTTAAGTGCACCTGATTTAATTTCAAACTAAAGAAGATAACTGCCTCCTACTGAAAATACTTTTTAATTTGTATCTATGTCTACACTAATTTTTATTATTGTCTTAAAATAAGCAATAATTAACTTGTTGAACTGTACAGCACTTTGACATTTAATCATCTTAAAGAAATATACAGCCGAACAAAACTTTTCATATGTAGTAAACAGTGAAATGTCTAGAGATTGGCAAGTGGTCCAGTCTCAAGTTTTAATGGATGAAAAGGGGGTTTGAAAATATTTTTTAAAAAAAGATTAAAGTAAAAAAAAAAAAAAGGCCCTAGATAGCATGCTCAAATTTTAGTGGGCTTATTGTAGAGAGCTGATTTTATTTTATTTTATTTTTTTTCCCTCTTCATTTGATAGATCTGGAATAGCAATATGCTTCGGGACCAGTATATGGGAAAGCATGTATTCACATCGATTGATGAGTGTGATGGATCAATCCACCAAGTTGACTTATTTGGACGAGGCAAAGAAGGAGACATTCAGCGTCCAGGCAAATTGATTGTTGAAATCACAACCAAGAGAGAGTTGGCATCAATCTAATTGACATTTAAAAAAAAAAAAAAAATCTACAAAGATCTTCCACTAGAAATTTTTTTTTTTTAAGAAATCCTTCTCATTGCTTTCACCATCATCTACATTTTCTTTCTCCTTTCAATTTTTGCCTCTTCCTGCTTGGTCAATTTCTGAACTTTTTTCTTTGTGTTCATTTTTCCTGGACGCTTTTATGACTTTTATATGTGCATAGCATTTTCTTTTTTCTCTCCTTCATATATATGTATGTCTTTTTCTGACACTTTTTGCATCAAGAGTGACTGGGATAATGGCATTTTGACACTTGTCAAAACACCTGCAATTTTTCCACATAGCATTTTGATAAGTTATTGATGGGGCAAAAGAGAGATATACACATGTTCATAGCTGATTTGCAAATCACCCCATATATATATATATATATATATATATAAATTCTTAATGTTGTGCCTCAACTGAAAAATCATGTCTGTTACAATGAGAATGTATCATCAAAGAATTGTATTTTTAGTATCAGCAAAATACCAAGGTGAATTTAATAGAAAGATTCATTCAGTAAGAAATTAAAATATGTACTCTTTTTTTCAATAAATTATATTTATAGTGAATATAGACAATATTTTGTAAACCAGTATAGATTATAAATTCACTGTTATGAAATTCAGCACAATGAATTTATAATGTATACAATTAAAAGCAAGAAAATAAAATTAATATTCAACACATATTTGGTTTTACAAATAACAGACTAAAAATGAGATCTAAAAGGTTTTTTTTGGGTTTTTTTTGCTTTTATTTGAAGTTTTCCTGAAATTTGATTCTTGTCTCTTTTTTTTTTTTTTTGTACTCTTATCTTTTCTGCTTTTATAAATTTTTAACTTAAGTGTAATTTACCTTCCTGCAAGGTTGATTAAACATAACTTGTTTTCAGTCAAATATATCCAAATATTCAGTTTGAAAGGCAAGGGAAAGATTGTTATCCAAAATGAATGAGATATTTGCAAAGAAACTCTAACTTGTGTCTTTTTATAATCCCAGTCACCTTTTTCTTTAAGACTGAATATTTTTTAATGAACCACAAAGGTGAGGATATTAATATGAAAATACTTTTAATGTCTTTTTATATATTTTTTCTAAAAGGTGTTGAGATTTGTCTTTCCTATTTATTATGGTTTACTTATTACCAACCTGCCAAGAATGAAAATCTATTTTTTTTTTCATTTTTTGCAAAAGTATTTGAAATTCTGACCAGTAATTCTGTTCAATTTTCAGATATAATATTTGCTTTGGTTACATTTCAGAGCAGAAATGAATTATCAAGAAAAGTTTTTGAATATATGTGTTTATAAGCAGTAATTTGAACTTTGCTAAACCGGAAGTCCTCTGTGACTGAATTAGTTAACAGCACGTCAGGCCAAATGACAGTTTCTGTATGGGATACAGGTTCAATTTCTGTCAGAGGACGCATATTTTCTATGAGATTTCTCAAATATTCAAGCCAGTAAATGTAATTAATACTGTTTAATTATAAAATGAAGCATTTACTCAAATAAGCTGTATCCATAAAAATAATGTATAAACAGAAAATATATTAAAATATTTGTCAGATTTAATCCATTACATATAATACATGCATATATATATATATATATATATATATATATATATATACACACTATTCTTTTTTATGTTTCCATTTTATTGTTTATTGAAAGCATAAAAAAGAACAGTAAATTAAACTTATGACATGTGGAACTTGTAGGCCTGTTAATGTTCTTAAAACATATATGCTTGGTATTGGTGAAATGGATAAGCATCCTGAAATTTGAGTAATTGGTTGAAGAGGTATTGCCTTTCCTATTATCTTCTGCTTATTGAAGTTTTTCACAGAAACTTTGCATTTACATAGGCAGTGGATTCAATCAACTGTTCACTAATTGACCAAATGTGTTCATAATGTAATAACATAAAACTGACTTCTGTACTTTTTCATGACTTTTTTGATACTGAAATTTTTATCACTCATATTCATCTTTAGAAAATGTACAAGTAGTTGAAGATTAATAATCTTTGTTGTTAGTTGTAATAGTTCATTTTAAAGGTTGTTAAAATTTTAAGTTTCTTTTCTTAATTGTAATGGTAAGCAACAAAACCATTGCAGATTTAGTAAAACTATTAATAATATATTGTCACAGAAGTAGTTTCTAGTAGAACATTAGTAAAACAATATCGTTATAAATTGGTGAACGAAATTCCAGATTTTCTCAGGTATGAATATTATTTTTTATTGTCTACAACACCTCAGGTCTGTTTAATTATGACACCATTGGATTTTAATTAACCATTATTAACAGTAATAATACTACTACTATGACTCCTAATAATTCATTGGTTTATAATGAAATTAAATATGATATACAATGGTGGTCATGGCATATTTTTTAAAAAATTTATTTGCATTATTTTTCTTTGACATCTTATAAAAATCACATCCAAGTTCGATTTATTTTTTATTAATGAATTTAGACACAAAATAGTTACTTATGTGTAAATAGTAAATGTCATGTTTAGTCGCTAAATTTATTCAACTTACTGAGTTTGACTGTAACTGTGTTTAATTTAGTCTTTTAGGAAAACTTAATAGAAATGCAAGTTTTTTTCTTTTTTCTGATTTGTGTACCACTGCTGAATATGCATATATCTTTGCATTAAATTTATTATTTTAGCAAAAGAATGCTCTAAGCTAATTATTTCTGATAATTTTTAATATTGGTTAATTTCCGTTGAACGTTTACAAATTTTATTTTGTCACTCATAAATGCTATCATAACACACTAACAAGACCAATGTCTGATTATCTCATATTACATTAAAATAATCAATCTTTAAATATCCCATCTTTGTAGCTCATTTCTTTGAGGCCCTTTAGTTGTTGTTATGAATTAAGGCGTTATCGCCCTTTAACTTTTTTGTAATTATTGAACATTAAAAATGTTTTCTTAAAAATGGGATCTTAAATATGTTTGCAAAAATTTTTTAAAAATTGTTGAAAATGATTTGCAACTTAAAAATATTATGGTTTTAGCTTTTTTCTCTCAGATATAAACTGAATATTCACTTTTGTATAAAAAAAACAAGTTTTTAACAATCTGTTACAAATGATTTAATATTTCATATTTATATATGCATGTATATCTTGTGTATGTATGTTCAGCAATTTTAATAATAGCTTCTACAAGCTTTCAGTAAGAGTTAATTTTATATCTGTCAAAATTTTCAATGAAAAAAATATTCATAATTATTTGACAAAAAATACTGATATTTTTCATGGATTCTTTTGTAAAAGATTTAATTTCTTGAAAGCATAGGCTATTTTTTATTTCATTATTTGTTTTTAAGATATTTTTTCCTGCTTATGCGAGCAATATATTTTGTCTTTGTAAAATCATCTTTGCCTTTCAATGCTAAAACAGCTGTCATCCATTTTGTTTTTTGAATATACTGACAATATTGTTTGCACTAAAGTTTGTTAGATTTTTACATGTGTGCATTTTTAGTTTTAACCTTAGTAAATCATTCCATAAAGAATTCCTTTTTGTCTAGAATCTGTGTGAAGAATATCCATGTTGATTTTGAAATGTACACAGATGATGTATTTTTTAAATGTTTCCAAAATGAGGATCACTAAAATATGGATAAACAAATTTTATTAGATTTTTCAATGAGGGTATAAATGTGTAATTTAAATGAATTATTTTTTGCTATCGATTATGATTTCTCCTAATCATGATTATGAGATCAAAAAGGAAAAGGTTAAATAAAAAGCATTACTTGTCTATGAAAGCAAAGAACAAAAAATAAATTTCAGAAAGAGTGGACACTTTGATATCATTCTTCAGAAATGCAGAAACAGTCATATAAATTTATAACAGAATAAAACCTATTTATGAATTAAAATGGAAATTGGTAAATGTTTTACAGAGAAATATTCATCTAGTAAGTCAGGCCATATAGGGATATGTTGGTGACTTACTAAGCATTTTACCCCCTTCTATTTTGATTAAGAACACCTAATTAGCCATTATGTGTAATTTCATTATTTTACACTGTTTGTGCTTTCTGTATTTCAAAGTCATTTTCTCTTTTAAAAACAGTCATTTTTATTGTCTGTATTAAAATTACAAGCCTACATTTCTTTAAAAACAATACCAAATTGAGATGGGAAATCTAACATGCTGAAAACATAGCATTTTCTTTATAAACAAACTGGAAACATTTCCAGAATTTGCATGTATAAATAAATATTTTATGTAATAAGAACACTGACTACTTGTAGATATCTTATCCAAGGACATTTCTAGTAAATTTCACTATTGCAAAAAACTGCCTATGTAACAAAACAGTAATGAGGAGCATCAACTGGCTTCTATAAAGTTGCTTATATAAAAAGCTTTATTTTAGGCTGTGTAATTTAACTTGCCATGCCAGTCCTGTCAGTAGGTGAATGTGTCTACATGAAAATAATAACAGTAAATATTGACATCTGACACAACTTTTCATGGAAATGTGTTTGTTTGGTACTCAAGGATTTTCACTTTTGTATTTAGTGGATCTAATGAATTCTGTATAGTAAACTACATAAAGTGCATCCTTGGTAATTTCACAAACTCTAAAATTGAGGTAAATGCTCTTAATAATTTAATGGAACTACAGTGATAAAATGTTGGAGAGTTATATTAGCACAATGGTACTTACAGGTTCAACGAGTTAAAGATATTTCCTTGATTATCACTTTCATATATGTATCCAAGCACTTAGCATCATCCTATTTCTTTCATATTAACTTTGAATAGAACAACTGTCAGAATTCTTTAAAGAATCCTCACATTATCTGTAACATCATTTTGGAAGTATTTTCTCTAATTTGGTCAGATGAATTTTTTATCAGTTCTTGGAATTATTTGAAATCTTTTCTAAATCATTAGAATTCAATGTCTCTTATGTATCAA